CAGAGCACCACATATAAAAGTGATCCAGTAGCGATAACCTTCTGGTGTAGCGACTGGCATAGGTCCCTTAAGATCAGAAAATACAATTGCGAGAGGGCGTGTTGGAAGGAGTGAGGGGCCTCGAGGAATATTATGTCACCTGTGCTTGCCCATAAGGCAAGGTTTGCAAATTGGATCGGGATTGGATTGCATATTGTTCATCTTCATATTTAAGACAAGCTGATTCTCATACATGTCCCAGATAATGTTTATGCTTCTGTGGCAGGTTCGTCGATGCCATAGGGTCAGGTCAAGTGGACAGGTGCTTGCAGTACTTGAGGTTACCGGCCTTGTAGTGCGAGTGGTACCGTTAAGATATCCAATGTTATTATCGTTGACAGTAGCTGAGAAATGAAGTGCTTTGTCTTGAAAGAACTGGACCAATGACCCGGCTATGTTGATCTCATATCCTTTATGACGTGTAAGATGGAAGGGTGAAAGCAAGTTATTGCAAAGATCAGGTACATGCAGTACATCCTGAAACTCGACAGCCTCACAGACCTCTCTATTCTTCTCTTTTGGCTCAAACACAACTGTCCCCATGCCTGCCGAATAGATGATTGAATTGTCTGCTAACCGAATCGGAACCACATGTGGTGTCCAGACATGAAACCAGTCTCGACGATGGCTCATGTGAGATGAAGCGCCTGTGTCCGTATTCTAGTTAGATGATGCTGGGGACAAGAGATCAATACTCGCTTGGCTGGCAGTCTCTTCTGCAATGTTTGACTTCTCTGTCTTTGCCTCTCCTGCCTTCTTGCCCGATTTTGTATTCCGACGTTCCTGGACACGCTGTATAGCTCGCTCCTTGGCTTTCTTTTTGCTGAAACACTCCTCCTCAGTATGTCCAGAGTTGGTGCACCAGCTGCAGATGGTATCGGATGATGCCACATGAGTGGCTTGGACTCTGACAGCGCTCGCTTTGAATGATGTTGCTGAAGTGGTGTCGCGAGAGCAGCGCTGCATCTCTTCAGTGTGGAAGGCGGCAACGAGTTTGTCGAGACTGAGAGAATGGAGGAGAAGGACTGATGACACAAAATTGTCATAATCAGATGGGAGGGCACGGATGAGAGTCATGGATTGAAGCTCTTCGTCGAGTTGATCGATGGTGAACTTTTCAGGGCGGAGTGCTTTGATGTCTTGTATAGCTTGTGAGACACGTCCAACGAGAGTAGAGAGAGACTCTTCATCGTCCTTCCGAATGCTGAATAAAGCATCATAGGCATTGAAACAGGTGCCCGGTTTTTGCTGTTGGTGAATGTCTTTCAGTTTCGACCACATAGCTGTGGGCTTACCCATGAGGAGACTGATATGAGCGCGCTGTGATTCATCAATGCAAAGCCAGAGGTATCCTGCTGCAGATGAACGAGCTTGAAGGTAAGCTTTTGTCTCCTTCTTTTCGAGCTTTGTGGGTTCACTGGGATCGGCTTGCTCTGGTGGCTCCTCGGTGCCATCGAAGTGGCCGAATAGCCCCTTGATGCACATGTAGGCCTCGAACGAAGGTGCAAAGTGGTTCCAGTTGCCAGCATGGAGGTTGGGAAAACCACGTTTGGTGGTGTCGACGACGTCTGAGTCGTTCATCGTGGTGTGGAAAAAAAAGAGACCGTTGGGGTTAGAGAGTGTGTGTAGGCCCGTGATGGGTGGATGCGACTTCCGAATGGATAGTGATGTCCCTTAGGAAAGTGAGCGAGACTTCGACGTCTAGTGAATGGTTCGCGAGAGGGAACGAAAAAATTGCTTGGCTTAGTAAGGCGCGGGGCCCATAACCTGTTGAGAGCAGGTTGCGTAGCGCAGCAGGGAAAGCCAGGTCTGGAGTCGAAAGTCAAAAGCTAGTAAGCGTTGACTTTCGACCTCCAGTATTGGTAGCTACGATTATGTAAGGTAAGAGCGACATGGAGGGTGTGCTACTTCAACAGTTTTGGGACGTGGAGAAGGCCTTGATGATGGGTCCTGCGAGGCGGAAACGGGAATGAAGGCGAGGGGTATATGCCAGTAAGCAAAAATAGACTTACCATTTTGTCCATGAAGTGCAGGGTCCGGTCCGATTGCAAGTTTTTGCGCCGCTTCCAGCGTTCGTTCACTGGGTATCGTGTGCTCACTCTGCGAAGAATGAGTTCCTAAGCAATCGGATTGAAAGGATATGATGATCTCGTACTCTGGTCGTAGCTTCAAGCAAAGAATGCCAGTTCCATCCCTTATTTCCGAGCTCTTCAATGGCATCATATTCGTCTTTCGATGGCCTGACCATGCCGAGAAAGTTTATCTACATAATCTCAGTATGCATTAACTCGAATAAAATTTCATTCACCTGCGATGAGCCACCTAGACCTTTTCCTTGAGGCAACTGCATCTTCCTACCATTAACATGCGGTTGGTCTTCACTGAGGAATCTCCAGTCATATGCGGAATTTGCTACCGCACGCCCGATGAAGCCTGAAATCTCATTAAATACAGCAATATAACTGGAATGCACGCTAAATACGAACCCGGAACATCGATATCAGACACGTTGGGATTGTATTCCCCTGCTTCAAGTACGCCCACGATGGTATCTCGGTCCTCGCTCAATCTATCAACCCGATACATGTCAGTATTGTATAGAGATCGGAGAAAGACAGAGCAAACCTAGCAGCAAGACAGAGGCCGGCTGTTCCACCGCCAACAATGAGATAGTCAAGTGGCCTTTTGAGAAACTCCCTGGATGATACGATAGGCATTTAGTCAATACTCTGGTCCTTTCGGTGAATATCCCATTTTATGTCAAGGAGAAGGGCCTCCGAATTCCAGATTAAGGATAAGATGAGTACTGTCGCGTCCAACATCAGACGGTTCTGATCTCGACTGCTCGTCGGGATTTTCCGAAGGGCCGGTGGCCGTCACAAAGACTCAGACCTTCTTCACCTCCAGAGCCTACCGTCGGGCCATTAAACGGTAGGACATGTGCCGTAGCTATGCGTCATTGATCGCAACGACAGACTTCCTCTGTAGTGCACCCAGCACTCTTTAACTTTAAGCTGCGCGCAAAGATGTCAATGGGCCTGCGACCACAACGAGCAATGGACGCACCCTGACCCTCAAAACTGTATGTATGCACTGTACCTTTTGCGGAGTTGCGGTGAGTTATCGGAGCGTCACCAACCATCTATCGCCTGACCGCCGGGAGAGAGGTCTGATGAGATAGAGCCTGAGCGTGCGAAGTTTGCCCATGAGTGTGATATCAATGTGTTCCGTTCCATAATAGTGTCTGAGTGCAAATAGTAGTTTTGATTTGGAGGCTCCGAGTCAGCCTAAGAGGGGAAGATCATTGTTAGCATACGTGACGAACCACGGATTTCAATATGCACGCGGGATAGCTCTGAATCCAGGAGTTTTCTCCGCAGTCGTGAATAGCTGTCTCCGCCCATTATTATCCTCAACTCGACTTCTTTCTAATAAGGCTTAAAATGCTGTAGTTCCTGTGATAACCATCTAATGATTATTCGCCTTACAGCGTCTCCTCGGATGCCTACTGGCGTCTCGCACCCACAAGCATCTGCTTAAGGAGAGTGTCAACGTCAGCATCCATGCGTGCATACCATTCAGCATGACCTTCAATTCTATGATGGTTCTCAGTACGAACCAACACATATAAGGCTTGTGTTCGAGACTGACCGCCCCGGATTCCTGCCACACCGATGAAGCTCAACATCCTCCTCTCCGTCTACATTCACCTCTTGGCTGCATCCGCAGCTCTGATATGTGAATACTGCTTCTGTTTTGAGGATGCTGCGAATATTGGCCTCCCAATCCTGACCAGTCAGTAGTATGCTGTTTCTTTCTCACGAGAATGCGAATACTCACTCCTTCATCTAAGCCAAGGGAGCATGCAGTGATTTCCAAACCTTGACGGGATGCGAGACGAAATTGGTCCTTTGCCTGGACGCCATCGCTTCGGAAAAAAATTCCACCGACATCTAGTAGGTTTTTTGAACGTTGGCTGCTTGACTTCTGTGTCCTCACAAATTTCGAGGGAGGGAAGTAAATGATTACCAGGGAAGGATATCGCGACGTGTTAGGTTTCTCCATCGAGCCCCTTCAGCACACACATAGTATTGGTTCTGTATGAAAAAGGTGGCAATTTTTGGTCGTACACTCTTTCACAAAGCCATCTAGGGGGTTACACCTGCATGAGAACTATCCGATATCATAACACGGAAAGAAAAGCAACGTACTAAAATGCCTACAGATGCACGGCTCTCGGACATTCAGGATCACCCTTCACGAAAGTGCCGGCAGTGAAAGTGACTCGATATGTTAGACAGTGAAGGATAATGTAGACGTCGGACCAAAAATACAAGCCGTCATGACCCCTTCACATCTCACGTTTTTCTTAAGTCTCAGCTCATAGGCAGATGTCGTGGCAAGCAGTCAGAATTTGACGGATTTCTCTTTTCTGAGATGGATAACTATGGATTCAGAGCATCGCGCGAGCCCTTGCCGGGGTCTTTGAGTACGGGAAATCGCAAAGGTGATTGATAAGAGTACACGAGCATACATACGTGTAGAATAGTGACCTGAACCACCGCAAAAATCCAATTCAGAAACGAATGGCCGTCGTCAGACATACTTAGTAGGACGTACCTACTTGTCCTGTTCGCCCTGCTACGGGTCCCTGAAAAATCCGAGTTCGTCTTCCTGTCTAACCAGCCGCCCAATTCGATGTGATTATGAGTCTTCACAGGAGGTTTGGAAAATCGTCCTCGAAGGTGGTGGTCATAGGTCAACATGTCTTGTTCCCGTGCCATCATTGAATGTGATGACAAACTCGGATATGCTTCGACATTGAGATACAGGACAAGCGCCACTTTTGCAACTGTTGTTCAATGTCTACAGCTCGCCGCGATACGAGCCTTCGAAATTCGAAGGTCTGCCTGCACATTTATATGCGCGCAAATTTAATCAGTACTTGCCCAATTTGAATTTGCAAGATTCAAGAAGACGACGACGACGGCATCATCTTTCGCGTCTATGGATGACTTTCTCTTTCACCAGGTTCAATCTCGACTGTACGCTGGCAGGGGTCGGTCTATCATACAGACCGGCTAAACCTTCAAGCTTGGGTTGCCTCTGATATTTTACGTTGGACGATCCCAGATGTACATTTGTGCGTTTGGAGCTATGAATTACACTTCATTATTTCTTGCCTTTTCCCATTCGCTCACGGCCAAAAATTGCCGCCATGAATTGAATCAAGTCCCCTCTCACGTCTCGCGTCTTCCCTAAGTGCCCTGAGTCTCGGCTCGTTACATGCAAATGTCGTAGCAAAAAATCCGACTTCGTCGTCCTTGGAGGTCGTGGTCGTAGATCAATGTGACTTAAAATCCCGCACCACCATGACCAATCAACGTGATGAGAAACTCAAATATGCTTCGCCACCGATGCACACGACGAGCGCCTTTTCGCAACTGTTGATCAACGTCTAGAGCTCACCGCCGTCTACTGGTAGCCGCTGGATACCAAGCTTTCAAAATCCGAACGTCTGCCTGCATATATGCGCGCCATGAACAGTACTTGCCCGAAATTGATCACAATGTGTACTCATCTAAGCTGACGGTGACATCGGTACCATCTTGGGCGTCTATCTGAGGAGTGTCCTCCTTTTGGGAGGGCATCAATCCCGTGCTTGTCAACAGTCCAACTCTGCAGGTGGTACCTTTGAAGATAGTACGTGCATACATGTACAATGCCTTTATACTAGACGCGGACGTGACAGACTAACAGTCTTAACATACTTTTTAGCACAGAGAAGCGCCAGAATGCTGGGTGCGCCCTATCCGACCGCGGAAGATAATATCCTTCCAAGTTCTAGCTCCACAATCGTGCTGGACCCGTAGGTAAAGTGACAGTACAGGTCGTTGACGTCTAATGTTGTTCGAAAGGGAAATATTGGCTACGCGCAATTTGTTTGTATGCTCCTAGGTCGAGGCGAGCCTGACACTCGCCGCGACAGCTTGGTGTACGGCGTGGGTGCACCGGGATTGATGAATAGGGTCGGACCAGGCGATCCTAGACAGCGAATATTTTCTTCCATCTACTGTTTCACTTCTCCCTTTAGTCACTGATCGTTTTTCAAACTCGGTCTATGGAGTGGCGGTGCTTGTGCGGCCACTTGTTTTAGGCGAACAGACGGAGTATTCCACCAATCTTCAATGTTGGATTTTCCTTGTGGATCGGAATATGGATGACCGTAAACAGATCCCTAGCACTGTGGCGGCGATCATACTCACGGTGGAATGTTATTGCAAAATATACTTCAAAAGCCATCAAAAATCGCCTTAGCTCCCGCAGTCATCGATTCAACCGATTCAAGTTCCTTCCTCGATGGTATATTCCTTGGTGCTCTTGTTGATTTAGCTCAGTCATAAGCGATCCGAGATCGGTGCAAAGCGCGTGGTTCAACGTCGCTTCCAAGCAGCAGAACCCTGCCAGTGCGTATTTGTCCACAATTCTCCACCAAAAGCTTGAAGGGGCGACAGGAATTTGACAATTCACGGTACCTAGCATCGCCTCTATTACACGATGCTCCTGATGACAGAGTGATAGAAACAATGAGACGAATATGCTTCAGATTACTATGGCTATAGCGAGGCGAGTGACAACTATCCTAATTTGCCGCTCGAGTTTTCACCACCATAACAGCGAACGGGCAGTGCCAACTTGGGAAGGCATCTTACGCGAGTCCAACGTCGAAAATTAATTCATTCATAGTTCAGGCTGTCGGTCCTGTGTCAGAAACAAAACTCTTAGTTGATACCCGAAGATCAAGATCGTCTCCTGAGAATAAAAGGACAAGGCTTCCTTTCTTTCCCACTAAGTTTGCTCGCTACGCGCCAGCAATGCTCCGCTTAAAAATATTCGCTCTTTTATCTACACCTCTATTGTCTAGCGCCCAGACTTTCACGGCTTCGAATGGTGCCCCGATTAATCAGCCTTATTCGTGGACTCGCGCAGGACCGAATGGTGGCCTTCTGTTGCAAGGTAGGTCTTCATCACATTCAACTAATCCTTGAGCTTAGTGTCGTCTAGATTTCGCCGCTGTCGACCTCCTAGCTCATTTTCATCGAGAGCGTATTCCTGAACGCGTCGTAAGCCTTCTCCTGATTGTTTTGTGGTGGGCTCACCACCATCTTAGGTCCATGCCAAAGGTGCTGGTGCTCATGGCTACTTCGAAGTGACTCAGGACATGAGCGCAATCACCTCAAACAAGCTCCTTAGTTCGCCTGGAACAAGGGCAAACATAACTGTGCGGTTTTCTACTGTTGGCGGCGAGTCTGGGAGTGCAGATACTGCTCGCGATCCTCGTGGTTTCTCCACGAAGATCAGAACAGAAGATGGGAACTGGGACTGGGTGTTCAACGACACACCCGTCTTCTTCATCCGCGATGGCGCCAAGTTCCCACACTTTATCCACACTCAGAAGAGGAACCCTCAGACACATTTGAAGGATCCTGATATGTTTTGGGTAGGTCCGAGATTACTTCGGTGATTCTGGTACTCAAGGCTATCATCAGGACTATCTCTCTCTGAACCCAGAGTCTGTGCACCAGGTCATGCGTTTGTTCTCTGACCGCGGGACGCCAGACGGTTACCATGACGTGCATGGATATTCAGGGCATACTTACAAATGGACTAAGTCAGATGGAACATTTGTCTATGTCAGGACTACTCTGCTTAGAGATACCGGTTTTAAGGTTAGCTCTTTTAGTGATCACCCGCTTGTGTCCTCGGCGGATGTTCAACCATTTTTTTCCTGTGTAGACGCTTGACAGGGAGAATGCAAGTGCATTGGCTGGTAGCAATCCGGATTATGGCACTCAAAAGCTTTTTGAGGCCATTGAAGCGGGCAACTATCCTACGTGGACTGTATGCATTGTGAGAAGTCTGTTTCTACACTCGTACCAAACTCATCCACAGCACATAAGCAAACTATGACCCCAGAACAAGCTGAAGGATTTCGCTATAACATCCTTGACCTCACCAAAGTTTGGCCTCAAAAACTTTACCCTCTCCAAGAAGTTGGCCGGCTCGTCTTAAACAGGAATCCGGAAAACTACTTCGCCGAGATTGAGCAAGTACGCCTCTTTGTTCAAGTCGCCTCAAGTTCAGAGACTAATTTACGTTCAAAGCTTTCCTTCTCTCCTTCAAACATGGTCCCCTACATCGAACCCTCTGCAGACCCTGTTCTCCAGGCGCGCCTCTTTGCCTACCCAGACGCCGCGCGCTACCGTCTCGGACCCAACTACAACCAGCTCCCCGTCAACTGCCCTCTCTTCCAAGCAGCCAACTTCCAGCGTGACGGCTGGGGAACGCTCTTTTCCCAAGGCAGTCGTCCGAACTACCAGAGTAGTACGCAGCCTCTAAACTATCAGGAGAACCCTGGTTGGATCTACGGCGAGAGTTGCGCAGGTGGAGAGGCGTGTGATGAGGAGCGCAGGGTCAACCATGAGAATTTTGTCGGAGCAGCGTATAGGGATCTGAGTGAATTTACTGAACGTGGGTCTGAATTCGTATGTGGCGGTGATTACTATGAATTGATGTTGTCCTTTTCAGTCGACTTAGAACAGCCCCGTGCTTTGTGGGAACTATGGAGTGACACGGAACAGGAAGCTATCGTTGGAAACCTGGCGTCGCATATGGTAAACATCAAGAACATCGGCATTATGAACAGGCAGCGTATGTGCATTCTCATATCATCTGAAATCTCTCCCCTGACCCAGCATACAGTTTCCGTCTTTGCTGCCATTGACCAGGGGTTCAGTGATGTAAGTTTTTCGTTCTCGTTTTCCGGGTCATTTTCCTCACAATTCGGCTCCTTAGCGTGTGGCCAGCGCTATCGGCGTTGCCTCCGTGGCACCGCTCACGGTCAAACCGGCGTCGGAAGCGTCCAAGTTCAGGACCTACCGCGGCCTTTCCGTCAACCTCACCGCGAGCGCTCAGAACGGTGATTTGACTCTTCAGCAGGTATCGACTGATGACTACTACTTGGACTAGTAAGCAACTATTTAAGTAACTACTTTATTGCATGATAGTGCATGATCCTTAATAGGATTTCGATATTTTGTTTTCAGGTTACCCTGGTGGCTGCTATCGCCCTGCAAGTTGTGTTCATGTAAGGCTTACCTGCTGGCGAAAGTTTTAAGTTACTACCAAGCTACAGCAGTTCTTCCGTATTTCTCCGCCTTTCAATGTGTACCTTGTCGCATGACCCTGAATAAACATCAACCTGAGCGTTCCGTTATACAATGTACTGATATCAGCTCCGCCATCTGCGTGCTGCGACGTTGACAAAGCTCGGGCGTAACCCAAAGATACGTTTATCAGTGAGTTGGAGGGTCGAGCCGACGATGAATTTTTCATGATTTTCAGGAATCAGAGCGGAGATACGGACATATGTTCCATTGCTCACGTCGGACTGCGTAAAGAAACATTAATTTCGTTTGGGAAGATCGAGAATCGGTCGATAATTGGAGCCGGTCCATGTGCACGCCCTTACATATAACGTCAGCATACGTCAACCCAAGAAATTTCCTAGTTTCTGCAAAGCCTTCCTTAACATGAGGATATACCCAAGCTCAGGTCCTTTCGTTCCCATCGCCAATCGCTCCGTTTTTACGCATCTATTGAATGAGGATGGGAACCTAATTGGAGGATACGACGCCAACCTACCAGCCTACATCGATGCAGTATCTGGGACAGCGTTGTCTCGAGGACAAGTCAGATCGCTCAGTCTATCTTTCGGATACGGATTGAGGAATTATGGTGCGAAGCGGGGGGACACTATCTTGGTGTTTTCGCCAAACTGTCTCGCTTATCCTGTAATTATCCTTGGAGGTGCGTTCATGTTTTTCCGGCTGATAGAACATGAAATCTCTTAACGCGCGTTACAGCTTTGGCTGCGGGACTACGGTGTACACTCGCGAACCCGGCTTATACCGCTCACGAATTAGCCTTGCAATATACCAACAGTCATGCACATCTGATATTCACCACAGAGGAGGAATTGCCAACGACCAAGGCCATGCTGAAGGAGCTTGGTGTGCCGGAAGAGGATAGCGCACACAGAGTCATCATGCTTGGTAAAAGCTTGAGTTGGGCCGGTGGCCCCGACGCCGCAATCAGCTCCGAAGCATCCGAGTTGCCACAGTGGGAAAAACTTCTTAGTCTTGGTTCTTTGGAAAAGGAAGAAAATTTCGATGGACCGCTTGCTGAGGAGACAGCACTTCTTTGCTACAGCTCCGTGAGTAGATTTTCCTTGACATCGTCGCTCTATACTTAGCTGTTTAGGGTACTACGGGAAAGCCAAAGGTTGTACTTGAGTTTTGACGTAACTTTTCATGCTCATGGATTTCTTACAGGGTGTCGAGGCAAGCAATCACGTCTCAAGAATATTCAAGGGGAGCTCATTTCAAGAATAGACAACTCACAAGAACATTATTGCGCTACTGGATGTCGGCGCCGCGAACTACCCCAGGGATGTAGGCTCAGTGGTACTAGGATTTCTCCCTATGTATCATATATACGGTAATTCCGTTCTCTTGTCTTCTGCTCCCTCTTTTGACTTTCCGAAAGGTGCCACGTCACTTTTGTTCTCAGGACAGAAACTGGGGCTGACCGTCGTGATACAAAAACGCTTCGACCCCATTAGTTTCTGCTCTGATATTCAGAAATATAAGGTGACAACGGTGACAGTTGTACCTCCCGTACTCGTGTTCCTTTCCCGACACCCAAGTGCGTTAAAAAATGAAGTCATCGGATAAATTCTAAACATACTATCCAGTTGTGGAGAAATTCGACCTCTCGACTCTAAAAATGTTGGTTTCCGGGGCCGCTCCCCTGGGGATCGAATTGTCAAAGCAGGTCAGATTTTAACAATGCGCTCTGGACTTGCTTGCTCATCAGTTGCTGTCTTCATAGGTCACTAAGAGGCTACGTTCAATGAGAGCAAGCTGCGCAGTTGTGCAAGGTTGGCGTGTATCGGACTACTGAAAGCCCTAGGACTTACCTACTGTCAGGATATGGAATGACAGAGATACCATCGGCACACTTCCTTCCTCCGTCAGATGCGGAGAGGAAATGTGGCAGTATTGGGAAGCTTTACTCAAACTTGGAAGCCCGTTTGGTTGCTGGGGATATCGATGCAGAGGAAGGTCAGCCCGGGGAGCTCTGGATCAGAGGCCCGATGGTCATGAAGGTAAATGATATCCTTCTTTTTCTGATGTCCTTTATTGACGTTCACTTAGGGATATCTGAATAATTCTGACGCGACTCGAGACTCAATGACTGGAGACGGATGGTATAAGACCGGAGATGTAGCGATTCGGGATTCGGAAGGATATTATTATATCGTCGATCGAGTAAAGGAGCTCATCAAGTACAAGGTATTCCCCATTCATTTTATTGTCACGTCATTCCGTACTGAAGCTCCGTTCAAGGGTTACCAAGGCGAGCTAGTATTTGTGACGTTCCAGATTTTCACAATTAATTACCAGTCTCCTAGTACCTCCAGCCGAGCTTGAAAGCGTGCTGTTGGGTCACCCTGACATCGCTGATGCTGCTGTGATAGGAGTGTACGACGCCTCACAAGCCACAGAACTCCCGAGGTACGCTGCCGCTGGCATATTTTTTTCATCTAGCTGATTCCCATTATTCATATTCAGAGCTTATGTCGTACCTGTAAATCCAGACAGGACCAAAACAAATGGACTAAAGGCATCTTTTGAATCTGAAGTAACGAAGTGGATGGTGTCAAAGGTGGCGAACCACAAGCACCTACGTGGAGGCCAGTCAGCCCGAACATCATGTTGTGGATGAGTGCACTGAAGGTATTTGCTTTAGGTGTCTCGGTTATAGATGTCATTCCGAAAAGGTTTGTCGACATAATAACACCGCCATCCTTTCCACTGACTTCATAATTCTCCATTAGCCCCGCTGGCAAAATACTTCGGCGAGAACTTCGCGAGCTAGCGAAAAATGAAATTCGAAGTCGATTGTGATACGTCTTCAGGTTCATGCAGGTTTAGTTCATATACTATATAGCGTCGCTTTCCCTCCACTTTCGCTCAGGACTGCCAGTCTGGTATGCCCTTAGAAGGAACTCACAACTGTAGAATGATCTGTTCTGTGCGTAAGATATTTAGATATCAAAACCATAATACGTAGACAGGAGCAAGCGATTAAAACTTGTTCTTTCACTTACTGAACGGGTGTCTGAGCTCGTTGATAGTGGCGAACACGTACGAAAGTGCATATGTTAATAGAGAAAGCAGGTATTTTACCGAGATATTTGTTCTGAAATGCCAGGCTATGTTTTCTCAACAGGCCCGCTCTCAGCATCAGTACGGCGCAAAAAATGTGCGATAACGTGTCAAGGAGAGTGTGACGACAGAATTAGAACAATATGTATACAGTAAGGTACGTAGTATCGAAAATGAAAGTGATGAATGGCATGGGAAATTTAAAGATGGTCTAATCTCGACGCTCGTTGATCCGCCTTCAGCTTCATTTCTATCCCGTACATAAACAACGGAGTCCTAGAAAAAGAAATTATTTGGCTACGCAGCTTGGCACCGTTCACAACAGTGGACCAAGAATTGTATGATGTGTTTCGACCAACCTTTATGTTGTAGTGCGCGCATTAGCATGCACTGATACACCGTAATCTTGCAGTTGGATTTCATACTTCACCACAGAGGGTGCCCCAAGTAAGAACGTTGACTGCCCTTGTGGAGAATTGTTTCAGACACGGGAACACATCCTGCGGGAATGCCCCCTCTACGAAGAACAACGGGGGATCCTCCGGAATGTGTCAAGGACTATTTACCTACCAGACATCCTTGGCACCAAGGAAGGAATCACAGCACTGAGCGAGTTCATGGAGAACACGGGAGCATTCACCCGGACGGGACAACCACAAAACGAGAAGCTCGCTCCAGAGCCAGAAGAGGAAGAAGGAGGAGAATGGTGGGAAGAAGAAGAGGGCGACACGGAAGACGAGCATGGATAACTGCCGCGCACCCACCACACCATAGACCATGTCCAGCACAGCCAGCACCCAAGACACGCTCGCAAAACACCCCAGGCTTCAGCCAACCGCAGGATCAAACGAACCAATTAGCCCACCACGAGGGCACAAAATACCATACATGTCCGTTACTCTACTCCACACTACACGCCAAAACACCCGGGGAACTCAGAAGGAAGAACGGAGGGACTAGAACAAGAGGGAAAGAGGATCCTGAGGCCCTGTACCTCCACCGCGTCTTAGTAGTTAGCTTACTTATTGCAATTAATCAAATGCTGAGGACAAAAAAAAAAAACAGAGGGTGCCCTCGTTCAATCGGCCAAAACCTGTCTTGGACGCTCGGACCAGAACCGTTGGTGTCGGGGTCGAAGTGCAGAACCAGACACCATCCCCGGGCCGTCAAATTCCCGCCTAAGAAAAATTTTTAGAAGATTTCTGTTTAACTAGAACCCACTGACATGAGCCAAACGGACGGTGAAAGTCAGGTGTTTTCGTCGTCCTTACGATTTCAAGTGCTCTAAGGCCTGACCTCAAGTTGTTGACCTTGATGGGCCTTTTTGGACTTGTCGTCGAGGCCTTGCAATCTACAAGGAGCGATATGAAATTCCGTGGTTGTTGCACTTGTCATGAGGATGAACAGACTTAGCGTCGAAAAGTTTCTTGCCGATCCTTGAAAGTGCCTTGAAGTGCTCCCCCTACGCCGGCCAGCGCTGCTTCTTTACGATAACCAAGTCTGAGTAAGTCACATCGATAAAGGCCTTTACTGGACGGTTCGGATTGTGTTGATTCCCGAAGGTTGCGTATGGTAGGGTTCCCATAGTTCCATCGCAACAACTCTCAAATAACTCGCGGGCCGGGCGGAGTATGTATTGTAACCTCGAATTCCAATCGGCCTTCTCTCTGTGACACGAAAACAAAGACGACTACAGGCAAAGAAAGGTACTGCGACGACAGCAGCATTCAAATATTCAACTCTCATATTCATTTGACAGACGATGGCCTGTATGTTCCACCATTTTACTGCATGTCCAGTGAAAATACCTTAATTTTCTTCTTACTACCACTCTTCAGTCCGGACATCATCCCATGGATTCAGCGCGTCTGCGATACCATTTCATTCACTCGCCAACTTCTACCCCGATGTAAGCGCCTCCGTATATCAACGCATGACGGCTAGGCGTAGGGCGCCTTCTCTGGTTAATATCTCTTTCTGATGTGACTCCGAGAACACCGCCGAGGACGGATGCCCCCACAGTGACTCGGGCATCTCGAAGATGTCCCTCAAAACTTGATTTCCTTCCACCCACCTCCACAAATCGGACTCAGTATCTTTACCGTCCACAATCCCAGTATGATACTTCCCGTTCTAATTGTTTGACTTCACAATTCTATTCGAAGCCCACTTTCTCATTCTCCATTCGATAGGTCGGTGCCGGACCAGCAGGACTCATTTCAGCGCTCTCTTTGGCCCAGAGTGGTATTCAAGTTCGTATCATCGACGAGTCTGATAGCTTCCATGTCGGTTCCCGCGGTTTTGGAGTGCAGGTTCGTCTATTTTATCTTTTATTCCAGTAGTTGATATTTCTGTAGCCTCGCACCTTTGAACTATTCCAGCACCTCGGTGTCATAGGCGACATCCAGAAGCTGGCGACGCCAATCCCCACTATGCGTGCTTATAAGCTGCCAGGTGGTACTGTTCCCGTCAAAACTTGGGATTTGTATAAGAAGAGTAGCGTATGGCCCGATCGGCCCTATGTGAGCCGTTTGTGAAGGGCGTGTCGATATAATTCCAAATCGTTTACAGGCAAACGGCGCCTGTCTCAGTCAGGAACTGCTAGAAGGCGTTCTTCGTGACCATCTCGCCAAGTATGGCGTTTTCGTCGAGCTCAACAAAGGTCTTGTGGCAATAGAACAAGACACCAAGACTGTCACGGCTACACTTGCTGTTTATCGAAGCGGCGTACCCACCGAAGAAAAGGAAGATGTTGTGGCGTGATATCTTATCGGCTCAGATGGTGCCAAAGGTATTGCGGTCCTTCATCGTAATGTCGCTTCTCATTCTATTATGTGTGCAGGCAATTCGAGGAAATTGCTAGGCCTCACATTTCAAGGCGAAACACGCGATGCAGATGGCATGGTCTGGGGAGACGTCACAATCAAGGGTTTGACTAGCGAGGTAAGTCAGTACTAATGCTTTGATGTTCAAATGCCACTGAACTTTCTTCGCAGTTTTGGCATATCTGGGGAAAACCCGGTCATTTTACGTAGGTATCCAAACTTATATGTCTGGATTCACATTCTTACAGTTTCTATAGTATCATGGCACGTCCTCTAAGTCCAACAAGCGACAGGTTTGACGTCGGAATCACAGGGCAGAACTTTGACCCTACTCATCTCGCTGATCCAGCGAAGGCTATCGAATTTATTAAAACTGAGACCGGGCGTACTGATCTCGAGTTTGGCGAGTTTACATGGCTCTCTCATTTCAGGTATGGTCAATAGGCACCATCTCTATATTATCTATATTCATTACACCTGGCAGGCCGAACATGCGGATGGTGAACAAATTTCAAGAGGAACGTGCTTTTGTTGTGGGCGGTAAGTCCCTGCTCTTCGGCATGTTATGCGTGTCCTGAATCAAACCTAAGATTCCGCACACGTCCATTCTCCCACTGGCGGTCAGGGAATGAACTGCAGCGTCCAAGACGCGGTAAGCAACCTTCCATAATACTGGTTTTCCACTCTGACACGATCACCCACAGTCAAACCTCGCGTGGAAACTATCCCTCGTACTCAAAGGCCTCGCGTCCCCCACCCTCCTCTCGACATACAACGAAGAACGCTTACCCGTTATCACACAGATGCTCCACGCTACCACTCGGCTGTACACCCATACCGTAGCGAAGCAAAAGCCAGTCGCAGAAGAAAAGGACTCGGAGGATGAAAAGGCTTCTGGATGGTTCCGGTGGAGGAACCCCGCTCTGGAGATGTACGGTATCAATTACCGGTACAGTAGTATCGTATTGGAAGGGCGAGACGCGGATCCGCAGGATGCTGAGGACATCCTGGCGCATGCGTACTCTGGATATGAAGGTCGGGGGTCGTTGCGTGCTGGAGACCGGGCTCCCGAGGCGCCGCTCGGAGGGACGACTTTGTTTAGTTTGTTCAAGCCCACCGTTCATTCTGTGCTCGTCTTCTCCAAGTGGACTGCGGATATAGAGGCGGTTTTGAAGACGCTGCCTCCAGCGGCCGTTCAGACGTTCGTAATCTCCAATGCGAATGAACAGCTGGAGGGTGTTTCTGTGCTCGTCGATAGCGACGAACATGCGCGGAAGGCATATATGGTGGAAGGGGATGTTCTGGTGATTGTGGTCATTCGTCCGGACTCTTTTATTGGTGCTGTGGTCACAGATGCCGAAGGTATCGGGAAGTATTTTTCTAAGATTTTTGTTTGAAATGTGACAGCAGTGGCTAGCACAATGACATCTTCATTAGAACTACCTCTCGATGAACCGGGTCACGGCGAATCCGCTTATATTGTTCTTTGACCGCGAAAGGCAAGATGGTTGTAACAATAATTCGAAGTTCGGGCCTATGGTATCCCCCTTTTCAATGGGCCAAAACCGTTCTTCGTGACTTGGATGAGGCGGGGCCGGACCGTCGTCATCGGGATCGGGATCAAAATGCAGGGCTAGACAATACCTATCACCTTGCCATTCTCATAAACACGCTCCCACCTAAACAAAAGTGTTTAATAAACATTGTTATGACAGAACGAATGCCTGCCAGGAGCCAGGTGGTCGAGTGCACTCATATGTATCCTTCTTCTCGTCAAGGTCTTTCATTCTAGGATAAAAGACGGATTACGGTCCATGAAAAGCAACCTCGTGTGCGCCAGGGATATACGGAAGTCTGCCCTTGAAGATACTTGCAGTTGTTGACGGACAAGGCAGATCACTTTTGCCTGCTACAAACAATCATTTTCCCTTTCTTCTCTTTTGGTGCCTAATCTTTTCGAGCTCGTGGCCACCCAGAGGACAGTATAAATGTGTTTAACGCAGACATTGTCCCCTTCACCTTCTCCGGCGCCTCACGAAGCCTAACCGTCGAAAGGCTCGTGTACGACTAGCCATCTGTATTCCTATCTTTCCAGAAATAGTCCACCCAAGGTCAAGGGAAGCTTTGGAGCTGTAGATGTCATTGCGTTGGAACCATTGCTACCATCCTTCTCGCCGTGACCTCTACGCCCGTACCCCAACGGAATGGCGGGACTATTCTCACTCGCCACGTGTGAGGGGCTTCTCCCCCCGGCTCGTCAAACCTTTGGCGGAGGACGTATGCTACTCCCGACTCGTCCGGTCTGGACTAGATGATGATCAGGTTCTTCGAATTCTTGACGGTCAAGAAGATGCTCCAGATACAGATGACCGACCGGAGACCGATAGTCAAACTAGACAGACATTCCTAACCAACATACCTGGCCGCGATGAACCCAAAGATGATATCTTCATGCCCGTCCTCCGCATCGACCCCGTCCTATCAAATATCCAGAAATATCTGATCCTTCGCAGCTATGGGAAGACTTGAATCTTTCTGATCTTCTCTAATTTCTACCTATCACTCTCCTGGACCATTGTTCTGTTTCTAGCATTATGGAGGAGTATCAACTTGAACAATACGGGCCAGTCGTTTATGAGTCCCCAGAGGATCCACTGATTGAAGACTCTGGAGGATGTCCGTCGAAGTTGAGATGAGAACCGTCCTCAAACATTGTATCAGGTGAAAGCTAGTCATCCGACGCGCAAAGTAAATCCATTCCCCAGCCCATACCTTCACAGTCATAATGTTCCTTCCCCGGATGGCTAGTGTTCAATGGCTTCTGAGGCACGTTCTTACAGTTACATTCGTTGTCGATGAGAATGAAGGTTTACCGTTAATGAATGTCGTGGTAAGAAATGCGCGCGGCAACATCGTGGTACAGATAGTAATTTAAGGTGGTCCTCGATCGTGATGATCGGCGGAGAAAGCTGAAAGAGTAGAAAAGATGATAGAAGACCTATCAATGGCTGCCCCCATTTTATATGAGAAATGCTGTTGCTATTGTTTCATTATCTAGCCAGGTAAAGAAGATATTCTTTGTTCCTGCAGGACCAAAATACAACAATGGCTGATCGGTGATGATCTTCCCACGCCTTTTTCTTGTTCTTTTGTTGCCGCTCCAAGGTATAAATATGCTCATTTTATCTCTTCGCCTCCGTTTCGCTCTCTGTACTCTCTGCCATGGCTACTCCTCAAGGTTTTCCACCTTGGTGGTCTTACATCTCCTTTTCCATTGACGTAGCGGCAACTCTGGATTTATACTGTGATGGGGGTGACGAGGCCATGTTGCAAAAGTTGGATGGTCTCGAGGATAGGAAATATTCTGGTTACTGTATGGATGTGGGTCGTTCTGCGGCTTGATTAATGATTCTTAAGCATCACAAAGAAAACCGCTCAGGTTCAAATTCCACGTGAACCCACGTACCACGTTATCAGCGTTAGGCCACTGCAACAGGGCCTCACCAAGCCACATCCCCGGAGACCCCAGCATGCAAGGCCTACCATGTGTGTCCCCATCTTCCCCACGACGGCCCATCCTAGGTCCAGGGAACCGCTGGAAGTGACGAAGCCACTGTCATGGGACAACTGCTATCATCCTACCTGCCACGACGTTCGCGTACGTATACGAACGGAAAGGCGGGACTATTGCCAGTCATCATATGTGAAAGGGCACTTTTCTCCCCAGCTCTGCAAAGCCTTCGAGGAGGATGTACGCTATCGACAATTCCTTCATGCTGGCCTAGACGATGATCAGATCCTTCGAATTCTTGACGGTCAAGAATCCGCCCCCGCTACAGATGTGCCGGACGATGCATCGGAGACTGATAGTCTAGCCAGCCAGATGTTTCTGGCTAAGCTACCAGGCTCCGATAACCTCGAAGAAGAACTGTGCTTCGTGCCCATTATGCGTTTTGACCACGTCCTGTCGAACGTCCCAGGAATAGCCGCTCTGTCACAGCTATGTGGAGACCTAGATCTTTTCCAAGAGTGAGCAATCCTCTCAATTGTTTCGAATCTTCTCCTTAACTATTCTTTTTTATTCAGAATTGTGCAGGAGTATCAACTTGCGCGGTACGGATCGGTCCTTTTCGACTCGCCAGGGGATCTGCCAATTGATGAGACTCCTGTTCGTGACGACGTTTCATCGGTTTATACTGTATACACTGTAGCGTCGGCGGAATCTCGCGCAAGCTCGACGGAAGATTTGAGCTCTGATTCTCCGGACTCTCACGAACTGGACTTATCGTTAGAAGAGTCTCCCCGGGTCCCAGTGCCGGTGCCTGCTCGGAAAGGTAATCATCTAAGTGTCTCGACCATAGCCCCCATTGAATTTTGTTTCTAGGAAAATGGAGTCAAGTCGCTCCTCCGGAGGGCGATCACCAATTTTGTCGAGGTCTTCAAGTGGCGCAAGGTTTCTCGCAAGTTGTAATTTGGTCTGCGGGGATAGACCCAATCACCTCACCTTCGTTTTATTATATACATTATTTTGTATCGCTAATACTATTGTACAACTTACACTCTCTTAACCCTAAGTTGCGACTCGGTCTGCAGGACAGACCCACAAAACTTTCCATCTCTTTAATATATTAACGCGTTTTCTTGTACATAAATAATATTATCCAGAAGGGACCTTGGTACGTTAGGTAATCCCACATCTTACCTTCATACCACCATGTCGGTCAACAATACATCGCCGAAATGCTGTCGTCCACCTGATTCTGAGTCCGGGGAGAGTATTTCAGCTACTGGCAAAGATGTGGGCCAGAAGGTGCCCACGAAGCGCCGAAAGACAGATAGTGATAATGTCTCGCCCCAAGTCCGGAACTCGCACATCCCCTTCCTCAGCGCAGGAGTCGCGCAGGATCACCAAGAAGGCTTTAGCCGAAACAGAGAAGGTTAAGAAAACCTGCAGAAAGAGCCATGGGAAGCGTGGCTAGCTCGCAGTGAGAATCAGTGGAAGCCTGAGCAAGGCCCCAACTACAAACAGAAGATTAGATGGAATGTTGTTCAGCATACTGATGCGGCGTATAGTTCGTATCACCACAACCGTCGCCGAACTTATGCCACCTATAGCGAAAAGCCACTTTCGGTTTTCTGACCAAGAGATGGGAACGCTACCCTACGTTGCAGTTGAGAATCAGAACAATCCGAGCCGCCCAGGAAAGTCGTACGACAAATTAGATTTACTGAGGCTTACGTAGGTAAAGAGGCTGCGCTCAATGGCGTCGAAGGCGTGCTTGATGGGATGCCCAAAGACGACATGTTGGAGGACCAATGTTTGTTTGATGTAAGGTCCATTTGATTGTACGCTTTATATACTGGGGTCTGCGTCTTATTCCATCTTTTTAGGATGAATGATCTTGATAGCAAGTACAAGAAGAGCCATGATGGTAAATCGAGGCCTGCGGTCAGGACGTTTTCGATCATCCAACGGAGGACGTATCCTTCCAAACCGAAACGACCATTTGGCGTATGGTCGGTACAACTTGCTTTGATACTCTGTTTTCTGTTCTGATATGGACAGGTGGAAGTGCGTATGGGAAGACGGTAGAATGGTTGGCTGGTGGCTAGTCTATCACTTTGACCTCGAAGCTGAATGTGGTGAGGGTCATGACTACGGAGACTCTGATCGCAGCCTTCGTGAGAGGTTTTGGTCTGTTGAGAAGGGATGTTCTGGCCGGTAGGGATCTCTTTGGAACGGCGATGGCTTAGGTTGGGTGATCTACCATCACAGATTCGATTAATACATAATAAAATATCCGCAAAAATTCTGCTTGAGGGAAAGGCAAGGAATTACGCTGCATCTGTACCCTTGAGCTCAGAGAGGCAATTCGGGGATCGACTGATGCAAGAGTATACGAAGCAGTAGTGTGGTTCTAATGGACAGTCTTCTTGCATGCGGTAGTTTTCCAGTTATATGCGATGAAGTTTTAGTACTCGTTGACATCACACCGGCAAATGACTTGGACGTACGGAGGGTGTAGTTAATATACCTCGCAGACCTTCGATGGCAAGTCGACAGGCTTAAAATTGGGACATCATGATGCGGGAGCGGCATCCTCGAAGATACTAGTAGTGCCCAACGTTGCAATGCTTCTACGACGAGAACGTTGCGTATAGAACGATTTGAAGCTGTTGACGGACAAGGCAGATGCGTTGAAGTGGTGCGTATATTGGTGTAATATTGTCGGCGTTGCTTGGGTCAGGTTTCCAGTCCCTGCAGATTTCCAGTCCTTGGAAGAAATAAATGCGGATCGAGATGATCGAGATCAGACAATTTTCTCACGCCTGTCCCTTGCTCTTATTTTTTTTTGTTGATGCTGTTCCACCTTGGTGCTCTAATTTCACTTTTCTATCGATACAGTGGCCACATTAGAGTTCTGCTGCGACGGGGGCGATGATTCTATGTTACAAATGCTGGATAGTCTGCAAGATAGGAAATATGCTGGTCACTGCTACCATTGCGCCTTTCTGCAGCGTGTCAAGTCTTGAAATTTTCTTAGATCGTAGAGCCAAGAAGAGATTGGAACCCCAAATACCATATTATTGACATCCAGCCAGTGCCACAGGGCATCACGAAGCCTCATCGATATCCTCGGAAACCCCAGTGGCATGCTCGGCCTTCGATGTGCGTTCCTATCTTGCCAGAAATGGCCCATCTCAAGTCCAGGGAACCTGCGGGAATGTCGAGGCCACTGCCATGGAACGATTGCTATCATCTTACCTACAACAGCATTTATGCATGTCGAACTGCCGATTGACGACACATCTGTTCCCGACAACCTTCAATGGCATATAGTTGAATGTCGGCGGCATCTGGAACTTCAACGGAAGACCTGGTCTCTTATTTCTCCGGACTCTGATGGGCTTGGTTCGTTATTACTTGATTCCGAGAAGCTTCCCCAGCTCCAGCGCCTAGTCGGAAAGGTGGGTACTTATACAGTTCGAGCAGAATCCGCCATTGAATTTTTTTCTTTATAGACAAATGGAGAGTCAAATTTACCCTTCCAGCAAATTTCGTAGAGTTTGTTAAGAGGCGCAAGTTCTCTACAGAGATATCATGACTTAGTCTGCAGGATAGAGTCAAAATCGCTTCACATTCGTTTTTCAAGAAATTTATACCATACACATTGTATCGCTAATCATTTTGTACGACTCGCATTCTTTTTGATATGATAGCCTGTTTTCTTTTGCTAGGTAGAGTTCTCGGTTACCTTAGGTAATCTCTAGTCTTCTCTATGTCCGACTCTTCAGACTTATTATAATCTCTTGACAGGCAATCGAGATTTGAAATAAGGGTCATTCCACCTTATCTTTGCACCATCAACGCCACTAACACACCACCATGTCCGTCGACAATACATCGTCGAAACGCTGCCGTCCGTCCGATTTCGAGTCTGAAGGAAACATCTCAGCTGATGTCGGAGATGCTGTGGGCCAGAAGACACCCTTGAAGCGTCAAAGAACAGGTCCTGAAGTGTCGTCTACCTCGGCGGAGGATTCGTCCACGATCACCGATCAGGCTTTAGGTGAAGCAGAGAAGGAGAAAGCTGGAGCAGAAAAGGCTGAAGAGGATGCTATAAAGGAACGATACAAACAGATTTGGAATGAGTGGCTAGCTCACAATGAATGGAACCCTGAACATGATCGTTACTACAGGCAGAAGATTGAATGGGAGGTCGTGCAGCCTTCAGATGGTGCGTGAAATCCTTTTGACCATAACCATCGTGGAACTTATACCACCTATAGCGAAAACTTTCTATCGCTTTACTGATGCAGAGATGGATACGTTACCCTACGCTATGAATCGGTGTAATCCGCGGCGTCCAGGAAAGGCATACAATCGATTGGATTTAATAAGGCTTGCATACCGTAAAGAGGCTGCGCTGAATGGCGTCAAAGGTGCGGTTCATGGTATGCCCAGGGACAAAATGTTTAAGGAGGGCAAACGCTTGTTCGAGGCAAGGTCTGTTTGCTCATACTCTTTGTAGTAGTACTGGGATTTTGTTCTTACTCCGTCATTGTAGGATGAAGGATCTTGAAAGCAAATACTGGACTTTCACTGGTGGTAAAAGGAGGCCCAATCTCAGGACATTTACGGCTGTCCAACATCCGGCTGACAGGGATACCTCTGAACCAACGCGACCAATTGGCACATGGTCAGTATTATTCACTTTGATTGTCTGCTTTTGTTTTAACGTCGCCAGGTGGGAGCGCGTATGGAAGAACGGTCAGACGGTCGGCTGGTGGTTGGTTTGTCACTTTGATCCCAAAGCTGAAGGTAGTGGGAGAGATGATGATTTTGCTTCTCGTGAGAGATTTTGGCCTATTGAGAAGGGGTTGCCCGCCTGGTAAGGCAAAGATATCTTTGGTACAGTATTGAAAATCGGCGATGATTTGGGTGGTCTACAATTATGGATTTCAATTTAGGCAATAATGAGAATATATAAAATATTAGCAGGGATTCCGCCCAAGGCAACGTAGTGAGTGTTGGAATGGGTGGTTTCAAATTGATAGAGACGCCGTAGCCATCCGTAGCCTTGAACTGGTTGAACCCGCATGGGGAATTCGACGATTGACTGATGAAAGATCCGAGAATACGGAGCAGTGTGGTGTGGCGGACGGTCTTCTCAATTTTTGCAGTGATATGCAATCGATATCGAGCACTTTCGTGAGGTAGAGAGTCAGAGCGAGGTACATATTCTGCCGTAGACGTGTGGGCTCCTCAAACTGAAAGTCGCCTTGTTCTCCTATTCCAAAATACCCAATGGCACGGTTCAAACGCGAGGCTGCATGGTCAAATCCCCCACGTATCGAGCCGAGTTTTGGTCTGCTCCTGCTGCAATCAGTAGGCAGTTCTGAAGTCGAGGTAAGTTGTGGCCCTGACAGGGCACATAGGCATGAAACATTCATGTTCCATCATATTATGCTTCCTGCGTAGACCTGAAGGCTCGCTAGACGAATACCACCCTGCAGTAGTGAGGTTTCTATCGGTGTTAGAACAAGTGCGACGCCCTTTGAAATTCCATAGCTGAGAAATCAAGGAGCCAGATAGAAGATTCCGATGAAATCGTCCCAGGTGCCTGGATGGAGCCCGGTCACACGTGGATCTGAATCTCCATAGTATCCGCCTAGATTTTGCTGGACCGACCTAATTGGATCTGGTATTTGGTTTGAAGAAGTTCTCTCATCTAGATAAGAAATGGGAGAGTTTCAAGTTGACGACGTAACGTGGATCGGAGGTGTACGAAAGGACTCCGACCAGCGCACATTCCGTTGTGGAAGATCCCGAACATGATGTCGGCTCGCTCCGTCACTGTACGACTTTGAGTGTGGGATGCGGAATGGGAGAAAAGGAAACATAAACAGTAAACGAAGTCATGCGTTCTGAGTAGGAGTGCCGCATGCAAGTCGCATGATGTTATCCGATATTGGAGGCTAGCGATGACGATGATGGGTTAGAATATACAAGGTTGTGTTTGCGTAATGATAACGCGGGGACCTACTTAGTACTACATGTGGCTGGTCAATACAGCTGATGGAAAAGGACGAACCTATTAGAATATCACATAGGTTTGTATCACCAGGATGGGTATCTAGGATAGGTTGATGTCATGCTGTGCTTTGAAAGGTCAAAACTTTAAGCTGGCTGGCTGTAGTCTTGGAATAAACATAAGCAGAGGCTCAAGCGAAGGAGCTGTACCAACTGTCAATTCGTCCGGTCTCCGTTTTTGAAAATAAAAACCTCTAGAACTCGGGGTGAGGCGATATACCGGACCGCCCCACGCTTCTCGCAAGATGCACACATATGATGATAAAAGCTGCCGGCGCCACGCCGGTTCGGTAAGGAAACTTGACTATAACTTTAAGAATAAGGAACATGCTGTCCCCAGTCTCAGGCACGGCAAATCCTTCGAGAAGTTTCGCAAAGTTTCGCCGACGTCACCAGATGATCAGTGGCGATGACATTGAGGAGACAGCCAGCTAGAGCAACACATCCTAAAGTAAAGAGAGCGACTCTAAGAGGTCTCGCTATTCAATTTCGACTTTCACAGACGCGGCATACTGGGAAATACACGTCGAGATACGAAGACAGAAAATCGAGTAATGTGATCGAGAGAAACGATCTACGTCCAAACAGGTGCGCCAGCGCCAATCCCAGAGTTGATACGATCCACGCCATGGAGTGGGGCTTCGATTGGATAACATAGATCCCGGGCCTTATATACCTAGAATTCGTACAGATATGCCTAACAAAAACGTATGCTTCAGAGTTGCTATTGGGTCATATGAACAAAAAAAATTACAGATTGGTGAAGGCGACACCGCTCACCTGTTCGTCTTTTTACATAGACCTAAAGCAGGAGCATTCGTAGTACAAGCCACAATATTTTCCCACGGCCTCGTTTGCTGATCGTCACGGTCATGTGGATCGAGCTGGTTTGTATTATTTTCTCTTCTTGTCCGTGGTATGGGGTGGTATATACCAGGAGGACTTTTGCAGGCTAATTTTCGGGACGACACAATTGATCGGTTATTTGCATGTCTCCCGAGACGATTAACCATATTGCTGCCGAATAGTCGCTGCCAGAGATTGCTTTGCTTTCGCACTTGACGTGTAGGCCACACTGGGTCATTATTGTAATGGAGGAGACGTCACTGCGCGGCGTGCTGTGCAAGCCATTGAAAACAAGCAGTAAGTGGGATACTATCCTCGGGTAGCTACCTTCTCGTTTCTTCTATTTCCTTCTCAAGGGCCATCATCTACATTGAATGATTCCCCCCCTACCGGCCAGAAATTCAGCAGCATTACCATCAGGTTAATGCAGCAGGACCTCGGCAAACCTTATCGGGTTGAAGGAAATGACGCGATGTCGAGTGCTCTTATCCTTCCAGAAACTTCTCCCTTATACTTGCGGAATGTTGTCGAAACTTCGCTACCCTGATGTCGTCCAACTGGCATACGACCATATGCCATACACAGGATTATTTTATGGCTAACGATTTGAAAACGATCGCGTACGGAATCCACGACTAGTACCTTCTAGAAGATGATGATTACTACGATCTCACAAAAACAGGGCTCAGATCCAAAAGATGCTTTCATCTGATGCAGTTGACCAAGTCGGGAAAGGAAGTAGTTTACCTGGGCGACGACCCGGACGAACCGTTGGGACCGGACCTGCCTGAAGAGGAGTCGATTCCGGACGAAATGGACGCACTCCCAGAGGGAGAATCGAGACAAAGCTCTGGAGTTGTAAGGGCTCCAGCCCAAGGGAGTCAACCAGAAGGAGACACTGTCTTTTATCCGGATCTTTCCACTGTCCGAACACATTCTAACGTCTATCTATGCTCGTCCTATCCAAGTTTTTACCCAGGTTACGCTACTGGCAGAAATCGTTCAGGAATGCCAAATTCGACATAATGGCATATCGAAATGGCCGCTTGACGAAGATCTTGCAATCAGTCATGCGGACAGCCTTCCTCATTGTATCCTCACCTGAGCCGCAGGACATCACGGTTTCGCCCAGACCTGAAACGGGGCATACACCGCGATAAAACTGGAGACCATGAGGTATGTAGAAAATCTGCAGGTGCGTACGCGTTGGAAATGGTGTCTAAAGTAGGCGTTATCTAGGTTTGAAAGGAAGATCCATCCTTTCTCGGGCAGCTTCGAGGTCCTTGAAATCACGGAGCATGCCATTGGAGGATGTAATACCTTTCGGTGCCAGGCAGTGTACCGTTACCGTATCGGCAGAGAAATGCATAAGCGTCCCCGTTGGAACATCTTTGCTATGCTCCAATCTTTCTGTAGAATAAATCTGGCCCTGTCTGCGGACATAACCAGGCATAGACTTATTATTTAATTATTTACTTTCTAAATAATGAATCAACAATAATGAACAATAGTGGTCGCCGCTGTCAAATTTCGTCATCCCACCACCACCACCCACCACCACCATCAGACGGCGACGGCCAGCACCGCATCCCGTAATTAAAGGACCTTTCAGGTAGCGCGGTTTCCATTCTTGCCTTCTCCTTCACCAAGTATAATTGGACCCGAGGACCATACCAGTGGTGACCCAACAAGGTCACCTTCTCTGCTCCGCGTTATTTATGCTGAACCTTCGATTCCCCTTCCTCAGGACCTCTATGAATCTCTCATACTTGTCGTCGAGGAAGGCATCAACTACCACCTCAGAGTGGAGACGCGTAACACCAGCAGATCCAGCCATTCCTTCATTCTCCGTCTACGACAAACCTATAGAGAAGTCGCAGCAGGACGACCGGGATTACCGTATCATTCGTTTGGACAATGGCCTGGAGGCCACTCTCATTCATGATGCCACCGCCGACAAGGCTGCCGGAAGCTTAGACGTAGCGGTGGGCCATCTATCAGACCCAGTGCGTATTGTTCACGTCGTCTTTGCTCAATATTGACCTGTAGCAGGATGATATGCCAGGTTTGGCTCATTTTTGCGAGCACCTGCTATTCATGGTGTGTCTTAACGTTTTTTCTCGCCTTTCTGGATACCGACTTCACCCAGGGCACCGAACAATTTCCCCGGGAGAACGAATATTCGGAATATCTGGCCAAGAACAATGGCAGCTCGAATGCGTACACGTCCATTACCAACACCAACTATTACTTCAACGTGGCCACCCCTGCCCTCGCTGGGGCACTTGCCCGGTTCTCAGGATTTTTCCACTGTCCACTCTTTGCTCCCTCGTGTACATCACGCGAACTCAACGCGGTAGACTCTGAGCACAAGAAGAATCATCAAAGTGACATATGGAGAGTGTTTCAGCTCAGCAAACATCTGAGCAAGGAAGGACATGTGTGGAGGAAGTTCGGGAGCGGTAATCGGGAGAGCTTATCTCAAGCGGGGAAGGATCTCAAGGCGCAGGGCAAGCTCGAGGCCCCGGCGACTAATGGTGTTTTTGCACCATCGCCTATCCCATCACGCATATCGTCGCCAGCTCCTTCCGTAGCTTCTACTTCGAGTGACAATGAATCCGATGGCGGCGCAGTTGGTAAGGAGACGCGTAGACGAGTTGTAGAATGGTGGACCAAGGAATATTGTGCAAGCCGGATGCATCTTTGCATCCTCGGTAAAGGTATGTCTTCCTCTTTTCCTTGACAATTTTTATCAATGATTATCTCCAGAATCCCTGGATGAGCTATCCGAGCTCGCTTCTTCTTTGTTCTCGCCGATACCTAACCGTGGTGTTGATCCCCTTCCGATGTTCGCTGAACACCCAATGGGCCCAGACCAGCTAGGCGTATGTGGACCTTTCTGAATTGTTTCTGAATACACCTGCTGACACTATGTAGACCCTTGTGCCCGTTCAAACGATCATGACCGTACACGCACTAGAATTCTCGTTCCCCTTGGAGTACCAGGTACCCTTTTGGCGTCATAAACCCTCCGAATTCATCTCCCATTTTGTTGGGCACGAAGGCCCTGGATCTCTGCACTCGTATCTTAAGAACAAGGGCTGGATCACGGGTTTAAGCTCAGGACCCCAGAATCTTGGAAGGGGATTCGGGATGTTCAAAGTAACTGTGTATTTGACTGCTGATGGCTTCAGTACGTCACTTTCTGCTCTTTCGTGTGTCGCGTGCTGATGTAGACTCAGAGGAATACCGTTCCGTCATACTGGCAACGGCGAAATACTTTGCTCTTCTACGCGAATCCACTTTTGCTCCATTCCATCAGACGGAGCTGGTGACTTTGGCGAGGACGCGTTTCAGATTCCAGGAGAAGCGACGCCCCGATGATTACGCCACACGGATTGCAGAGCGCATGGCTCGTGGCTATCCTAGAGATCTACTCCTGAGCGCCCCGCTATTGGTTTGGGACTGGGATGACTACAGACAGGAAGGTGGCGGTGAGGAGAAGATTCGAGAATATCTGGAAAGCTTCCGATTGGAGAATGGTAGAGTGATCCTTATGGCTCAGAAAGGGGACCTAGAAAGCCTAGGATTCAGTGATCACTGGGAAACGGAGCCCTGGTATGGCACAGAGTATAGAGTTGAGCGATTTGACGGAGATTTCGTTAAACAGGTGAGTATAATGAGCCTATTGCATTACGCCGTAATCAATTCCTCCTCTAGGCTAACGGCGCCAATGATATCCCTCAGCTGTTCCTCCCTGGTCCCAATGAATTTATTCCGACCAACTTGGATGTGGACAAACGCGAAATCGTCAAGGTAAATAGCTCTGTTTTGTTCAGATGAACTCCGAGCTTATCGGTTCATTTTTAGCCTGCCGGACGCCCGCACTTGATCCGGGAAACTCCCCTCTCCGTTTTATGGCACAAAAAGGATGATAGGTTTTGGGTGCCTAAGGGATTCGTTGTCATCGATTTGCGAAGGTAAGTGACGCAGGAAAGATCACAAATCGGCAGATCCTGACCCGGTATTTACAGTCCATATGGGAATAGCTCCCCGCGCAATTCTGTCCTCACCCGGTATGTCCACTCGCTTGTGATGATTTCTGTGACGTCCTCACGATGAACTTAGGCTGTATTCTGACCTCGTTACTGACTCTCTTACTGAGTTCTCCTATGACGCGGATCTGGCGGGTATCACCTATTCTTTCTTAACACATGCTTCTGGTCTCTACGTTACTATGAACGGCTACAATGACAAGGTGACCGTGTTGGTGCAACATGTCTTGGAGAGGGTCAAGCAGATTGTCGTCAGCCCTGAGAGGTTGACCGTTATGAAGGAAGAGGTATATCCTTGACCTTCTGACTTCATTGATTATATTACTGACCTGTGTTCGTGTTCCTACAGATCAAGAAGACTTGGGAGAACTTCTTCCTTGGACAGTCATACCAGCTATCAGAATATTATGGCCGATATATGTTGACAGAACGACAGTGGACTATTCATGAGAAGCTTCAGGAGCTACCCTGTTGAGTTACCGTCTCTTAACATGCGGATGTTGGCTAATAAGTGTCGTTCAGCCGTCACTCCAGAAGAGGTCCAGAGCCATATTAAGAGAGTTCTTTCTCAGGTGAACATTCGGATTCTAGTAACGGGCAACATGTTGAAGGAAGTAAGTATGATTATATGCTATGTGTATACGCCACAACTGTGTCACTGTCTTCTAGGAAGCTATTAAGATTGCAGAAGTGGTGGAACAGGGTCTAGGACTCTCCGGACTACCACCTTCCCAACTGAACGAGAGGGGCCTTTTACTGCCAGAAGGTATACAATACCTGCCTTGATTATCATGCCTCCAGTGCTCACCGAATTAATAGGGTGCAACTATACCTGGACATCTACGATACCCAATCCTAATCAATCTAACTCCGCGTTAACCTACTACTGTCATTATGGTTCCGTTGCCGATCAGCGCCTTCGTGTCGTGGCTGCGCTTTTAAACCAGATTCTTTCGGAACCGACCTTTAATACTCTTCGGACAAAGGAACAGCTCGGTTATATCGTCTCGTGTTCGGGTTGGAGTCTATCGGGCGGAGGCGATGTTGGTGTCCGGATAGTAGTTCAGAGCGAGAAGACACCCGGACACCTCGAGGATCGAGTCGAAGCGCATTTGTCGGCCATGAAGACTTACATCGAAGAGATGACCCCGGAGGTCTTCCAGGAACAGAAAGGGGGGTTGGAGAAGAAGTGGCGAGAGTCATACAAGAATCTCATGGAAGAGGGAAGCGCCTTCATGCTCCAGATCAGTACCGGACATCTAGACTTCTTGAGGGGTACGTGATTTGTAGCTGATTCCTTGTGACGGTACTGACGGTAATTTTAGCGGCAAAGGACGCAGATCTAATCAAGGATATAACGAAGGAGGACGTTTTTTCTCTATTCATGTCTAACGTTCACCCATCGTCAAAGACACGATCTAAGCTGTCGGTTCAGATGCGCTCCCAGAAACCGCGCCCCCAGAGAGTTAGCGCGCAAGCAGCTCAACAGTTTGCGGCTATCGTACGGGCGAAAATGCCAGATCTCGACGACAGCGCATGGAAGGATCTTGGCGAAGGTGATCATAATGTGTCCGACTTCCAAGCACACTGGGTGCAGGTGTTGCAAGGAAGAGAGGGTCTTCAGGACTTGGTTAGGGCTATGATGGTACTGATGGCGAAATACCCGGTTCAAGGAGAAGGTGAGGATGTTCCGAGGCCAGGAGTGGAATATATTACGGACCCGAAGGCCTTCCGAGCTGGTTTGAAACCATCAACGGACTTGGGGCCGATGGTGCAGTGGGGAGATTTACCTGCACCTCGACTGTGATTTGGACATTGGACAGGGATCTGAGCTGTTATATAAGTAGAGATCTACTCCGTATTATTTGTTTTGTCGTCGATTGTTCCAGTATAATGTGTACACGTAGTGATATGATGAACGACTTAGTAATGTGAAGTGGCAGACGATGAGTCAATGATACATGGTAAATTGGTATTGCATGACAAGAAAAACAGGAGGAAGAATGATTTGCGAAAGCGAGCTGGGATACAGGATACGGACATCTGTTGGAACGATGATTTTATAGTGCCTGATTGAGAATAAAGCTTGGTAAAAGAGAAAGAGTATCATTTTTGGAGACAAGCCCATCTACTTTCGTCTCCCTGCGTCTTTAGCACGCCTCAGCGCTGGTTGCGTCGGCGGAACAAAGTCTTTGGGGCGACGGAAGAGAAGAATGTGAGGCTCCGGTGCTAAGGGGTTCCTATCAGATATTGCTACGAAGATTTATCACGAAACTCACCATGAATCTCGTAGTGCTCCCAACCCAGGCTCTGCGTGATCCCAATATTCCTCCACTCTTTTTCCGACAACAGCCGAAGGGCAGACTGATCTGCATTCCAATAGCTCTCCGGTATTATCTTCATCTTGAAGAGCTGCTTGGGCAGGATGACATGCCGATACTCATACATATCATCGCTGTACTTGTCAGAGTAATGGATCCTAGTGGAAAAGATACAGGTTAGAAGCACTGATACTGGGATAATAATTACATGTAAAGCGGCCGCACGAGTTGATTATTTCCTCGATTTTATCTGCATGCTTCTTGGCTATTTCTTCAGCGGACAGTTGTTGGGATGACATTTTGAGAGAGGTACTGCTTGTAGTAGACGAGTTGAAAGCTGTCGACAAGGGTGGATTGTCACGGTCTGTCACGTTTAAAGTACATCACGTGATATCGGTACGTAAAGACGCGTCACGCGTCGGTGGGACTTCTCTGCTTCTAATCCAGATGCCGATTCCTTCACTTTCTCTTTCTACCACGTCGAGTTGTTCGAAAATGAACGCTAACCACACTAGGAACTACTATGCCCCTCAGGTATATCAGAATAATGTCTACGATGGTTACGATGTCGAGTTGGATGGTTATAACGATGAAATCAGTGAGTGTATGCGCTTTCCTTGTTCTGCATACCTTCACATCCTGTAGTGGACTCTTCTCCATCCCCGCCTGAGAGAATGAATAGAACCAATTCCACCTACAGTTTTACTCCACAATACCTTCCGCACTACGATGATCCAATAGAAGACTATGTCAGCACAACCGATCCTCGGATTTCTGACCAGCCTTATTACGAGGATGAACAATGGGAGGGCCAGCAGTTGTATGGATGCGACAAATTTCCTGAACGACAGGGGAGTTTCGCTCATGCTATAACAGCTGACCCGTGTCAGAACGAGGCGGTTCCTTGTGAGTACCGTTCCCTTATGGTGGATAATTTCTGATTTGCCTTTTAGCGACGATGAGGTACAGTCAACACCAAGAACACCAACATTTGTCAAGGAACTACCGTCCTTTACAGCAGCGCCAACCGCCGCATACTCCAATTTCGCATTCCCTCAACGCAGGCCGACCATCAAAAAATGATCTTGCTCGCGAAGAACCTTCATATAGGAGTGCGAAGGGTATTAGACTGAGACCAGTTACAGAGCTTCGTATGTTCTGTGTTCCAACTGCCTGCGTATATTACCGAATCGCTTGCTAGCTGATATGTATAGAGCACTATTCAAATTCGGCGTTTTTAACGCTGTCCAGTCCTCATGTTTTGATACGGTGAGATTTATGGCTACTATTAATGCTTCCATTCTTCATATGCCTTAGCTCATCGAAAACAATGAAAATATAGTACGTCAACTGGGTCTTTTCAGTGCTCTCATCTCACAGCAATCTTGTAGGTAGCGAGCGGTAAGTCCGAGTCAGCGTTGTATGCATGACCCCTGCACACAAATATAACACCCAATGCAGCACCTACTGGTAGCGGAAAGACTGTTCTCTTTGAATTGGCAATCATAGAGATGTTGAATAGGACGAGTAACGCATTGGACAACTCAGTAAAATGTGTCTACCTGGCACCGACGAAGGTAGGAGAGTTCTGACTGATACTTCATTCACGCACTAAATTTTTCGTAGGCGCTATGTTCGGAGAGATATCGTGACTGGACAGCCAAGTTCAGTTCTTTGGGTATTAAGTGTGCGACGATCTCTTTTCTCCCCATGTATCCGCGCTAATAGCAAAGATAGGCTGCGAGCTGACAGGTGATACTGTTCACTTTGGAAAGGGCGTATGGGGAGATGCGAAGAATTCTACAATTATGCCAGTTTTTTTATATACCTATGTGACTGGCCTGACTGACTAATTTTCAGTGTCACGACGGTAAATGGATTTTTAAGCGCATGGGGCGCCAACTTAAGTGATAAAACGACAGGCTGAAAAGTGGGACAGTCTAACAAGAAATTGGTAAGAGTCCAGCAGCTTAGCAAGAACTTCTCAGATGATGTTTCTTGAGCCAGGGGTGACCATGGAAAGATATTATCTTCCATTCGGTTAATCTTGGTAGACGAGGTATCTCTATCAAGTGATCTCATACCCACGATATCACAACCTTTATTCAGGTCCATATACTCAATGAATCCAGAGGTAGCACCCTCGAAGTTGTCATTTCTCGGATGAAACTACGTGGATCCAATGTCCGATTCGTACTCGTTTCGGCGACAGTTCCTAATACTCAGGACATAGCGTCTTGGATTGGGAGTTCCAGACGTGATGGTAGCTCGGCGAAAGTCTTCGAAGTATGCAAATTTCTTTCAGTTTCAGGCGCGGCTAAAGTCTATGTAGTTTGGTGAAGACTTCCGCCCTTGTAAGCTGAAGCGCGTTATTGTCGGGGTTCCTCGACAACGCAATCAGAATGATTTTCAATTCTCCAAAATTCTTGACTACAAATTGTTCTCGACGTTACAGACTCACTCCGTTGGGAAGCCTATTCTTGTTTTTTGTCCAACCCGGAAGGGTGCGGATTAGTTCTTAATAACCAATAACTTATATGAAGGGTAATCACCGCAGGTGTCTTCGCCACTGCCGAACATATGCTCAAAGATTATCTTGAAGCCAAAAAAAAGAAGCAATCTTTGCCTTGGACCCATTCCGAAAGGTTGTCTATGACCTCATTCTGTTGCGCCGATAACAACTAACACCGATTCTGATCAGAGTTGAACACCTCTTCGAAGATAAGCGTTTGGCTGGTAAGTTGGTATTATTCATCTATGTACGTTCTGCTCAGATAGGCAGAATGGTCGTCATATGGTATCGGTGCCCATCATGCAGGGCTGTCGTTAGATGATAGACGTGCAGTTGAAAGCCTCTTTTTAAAGGGAGTCCTTCGGATAGTCATAGCGACATCAGTAAGTCTGACCACTTAATACGATCACAGCAATGAAACTCTTCATCTGCCCAGACCCTTGCTGTGGGAGTTAACCTTCGTAAGTGGCGCTCAATACATGTATTTTCCGTTCTCACATTTGTCCAGCTGCCCACTCAGTCGTTATCAAAGGGGTCCAGACCTTCCAAAACAACGTTTCAGTCGAGTATTCTGATCTTGATGTCATGCAGATGCTTGGTCGTGCAGTGAGAGCTTCCTTTCTGATTCGGGTCTGATCTTGCTCAGTTTGCCTTGCCTTTTACAGGGTCGACCCCAATTCGGTGAATACCGCTGAGCATCTTGCTGATTAAGCGAGTGTTAACACCTTCATAGACAGTGAAGGGATGGCTATAATATTATGCGAGACCGAGCTTGAAAGCAAATACCGAGAGCTCGTTCAAGGCAAAACCATCCTCGAAAGTTCCCTTCATGTGAATCTGTCTGAGCATCTCAACTCAGAAATCGGTTTGAAGACTGTTACAAGTATCAGCTCTGCCACCGACTGGCTTCGAAACTCGTTCCTGTTCCAGAGAATTCGAAAGAATCCTCGTCACTATGCGCTCGGAAAAGGCGAGGATCAGACCTGGGAGGAACGTGTTGACGATTTGGTCATGCAGAGCATTAAAAAATTGAAGGAATCTGAACTTATTACGTGTTCCGAAGAGGGTGAAGACGGACAGCTGAGTTCTACAGAATACGGGGATATTATGAGCAAGGTGGGACCTCGTCAGTTATTCGGATTCATCAGATTTGATCTCGTTCTAGTTCTACATTCGTCAGGCCACAGTGAGTATAAACCGCGTAGACTTTTTTTGAGCTTCAGATTGACCACAATCCCAGATGAGGGCCATTCTGACTCTACCAGAACGACCAAGTCTCCGGGATATAGTAAGCATTCACTATCATATTTGTCTCTTTCCTGATCGTCGTTGGCGGGTGCGCGCGGCAGCTTGAGATGATTTCTGCCTCAGAAGAGTGGGTTATTTATCAGACACCTTGGTTCGGCAAAACTGAAGATATCGAAGATTGAATGAATCCAAGATGCGCGCTTCTGAGAAAACGGTAAGGAACACCATTTCCCAGTCATTCCAGTCGCATTAGATTAATTCGGTCAGTATCTGAATAAGCTTCGGCGACATAATGACATTCGCTTTGAAGTCAAGAAGGTTGAGAAGACCTCAGACAAGACTTTCTTGCTGATCCAGGTTTGTGGCGTTCTCGGAGTGTTTTGTGGTTGCTAATGGTTCCCATAAGGCTGTTTTGGGTGGTATCTCTCTTAATTCACCTGAATACAAGACAGGCGATAGTCAGCCTCAGCTAGACGCATTTAGCGTCTTTCGTCACATACCACGCATCGCCAGAGGTCTGCAACATCTTACTATTCTTCCTGTCGTATTTGAACTGACGACTGCTTCAGCCGTCGTGGAAGTGGCAATCACGAAGAAACGTGGTGCGCAACTGAAGCACGGGTTCGAAGTGTGAGTCTGAGAAAGAGCCAGTCCTCAGACTTCTCACCAGAGCACAAAGATTACGATGTCTTACTGCGAAGGCTTGGGAAGATCGACCCGTGGTGTTGCGTCAAATCGAGTCAATCGGAGAGAAATCGTAAGAAAATGATATCTCCTTGATATTTCATTAATGCCTAGTCTCCATTAGGTTAAAGGTAAAATGAAGTTTCCCATCAAGAAAGGTGCGGCTGAACATCCCATAGGTACTGGCAGAGCATGGCATAACATCGATTGATATTCTGCGTCAGCAAGATTCCCTCAGACTTGAGGCAGTAAGGCCAAATTTTTCTTGTCTTGCCAACATTTTTAACTCGTCCTTGTATAAGCTCTTGAATCGACGTCCTCCATTCGGCCTTGAGATGTTGGCATCCGCACGCGAATTTCCTTCTTATATGCTGAAAATAACAGAGATTGAAGTTCGCACTAGCGACGCAGAAAAGCCGGTGGAAGTCGACTTGTCCATCGAATGTGGATTAACCGATGACTCTTTCACGTCCCAGGCGAAGTCCAAGAAGCAAAAAGGACGTGTTTACAATATGACCTCAATCATTACCCTTACCTCTGACATGGAATTGATTGACTTTCGCCGTATATCGTGGGTGCCGATATCTTCATCTCATAACTTATACCATTGATTCTCTGCATAGAACGAAGTCATTGAAAGAAGCCAAGATTTTTGAAGTTACTGCAGAGTTGGAAAAGCCGAGCCAGTCAATCGCTATCTATATATCTTCCGTAGGTGTCTCTACTGGTCGGCAACTGTGAATACTTACCTTCACTCAGGAATGCGTAGCGGGAGTTACAGTGACCAAGTTTTACAAACCTGACATCTCGTCGTCCCAATACCCTACTAGAAATACTCGTCCCCAAACTTCACTGGTTCGTTCATGTTATTTTGTGCTTTCAACATCAGCTTATCTTCTCTTATAGGAGCTAGAGCTTCAGGATTATGAAGAAGATCCTGGATTTTGGGACCTGATGGATGGTGCCATTGACAGTTCGGATGAAAAGGCGGAGGTAAGGGATCTCATCAAGAAAAAAGAAGGTTCGTTATTTAATTCATGAAACTCGCATATTGTCATTTACAGACAATATCTTAGATGTGGGCACTCGCCCAGCAAAAAGGAACGAGCATGGCTCCAACATCTTAGCGGCTCTGGACAACCCAAAAACTACCCAAAAGCTACCGAACGGAAATTACCTGTCACCCCTTTTCGCTTGACCGTCCTCCATGTACGCTGACAGGAATTAGATGCAACCATTCTTGCAAGGACAGAAAAAAATGTCGTCACCTTTGGTATGGCCGCAATGCAGTAATGCTTTGTTCTGATGCGTTTCACTCCTCTAGCTGTAAAGAAGGAACATTGCATCCACCGAAGAAAACAGCGCCGATAGCTACGACGATGAAACCCTCGGTCTCTACTGCTAAACCTAACGCCTCCAAATCTTCTGAGACTACCTCTCAAAGTTCTCAATGGCGAAGGGTCTTGGACACCAAGAAGAAGACGCCTACACGCCCTGACCGCACCATAGAAAGACTAGAAGCTTTGCACAAGAACACTAACGTTCAAGACAACCTTAAGCTCACTGGAGGACAAAGGATCAAACTAGAACCCATTCCTGACCTGAAGAAGCGGAAGCGAAAGGCCGCTCCTGACCCAGAGATCAAGTTCGCTGACATTGGAGATTCTCAGCCACTGCAAGATGTGTGTCGTGACATCTCCTACCACCTAGACGACGACGATCTTCCCGAGGCTCACAAAATTATGACTTCTGCTCCTCAGAAACACATTCCTTCTTCTGACGACTTTGCTGATTCTGATATCGATGCTTTGACTCGCAGTTTCCCTGACGACGATGACTTCGGCGCACGTCCTGCTTCACCTCTAAACATCCACTTTTCACTAAGTCCTCTGCCGAAACGTATGAAGTTCAGTGATGGATCGCCGAAAGTGGGTCCTCTCTTATACTTATCAATATTTGCATTGAGATGCGTTGGTCGTAGGTTCAGAAGGACCCTCTTTTTGTCTCTGTCTCAGGTTCTGACAACGGTGTGATTGTCATTGATGATGACAAGTCGGTCAAAGCTGAGAGCAAGCAAGATGACTACGATGACTTCACCTTGGACCCTGCTTGCTTTGACATCATACCTTCCACACCAGACCTGACTATGACTTCGGACCATAGTTTTAGCAGTCGGCAGGACTTGAGCGTCGTGATGCAAGAACATGACTCTGGAAATCCGGTCGAGGAGAAGATGGAAGAAATCGACGACTTTGCAGAGCTCGAGGCTTGGTTGAACAGTGGCGCAGTTGAAATCATTCCATAAGGCTGATTGTGACTTTTCTGTACAGTAAATCGACATTCTTTATGGTTCATTATCACATCAGTATCGGTACTAGTGGTCCTAGTGAACGTTTAAACGCCGGTCGGTATGCCTGAAGAAAATAGAGAAAAATTCCCACCGCTCGTCTTCGATTACGATGATCCTCAGGAACGAATATTCTTTTTTTCTTTCTTATGGTCCCTTGGACCTTCGCTGGCTTTGGGCCTATGACGAATCGTTATCTTGACGGCTTTCGCGAGAAGATGGTCTGAATCCTGATTCTACATTAGTGCTTGGTGAAGATGGGTGTCGATTTGGTTGTGCGTGCTATGCCTTTGCTCTCATATTCTGTCTTACGATGGTTTGAAAGATCTTATTGTGTAATGCTAGTGCCAACTACACATACTTACGCGGTAAAGTGCCGGTAGTAGTAAGGCGACATCGTGGCACTGACACGCCGTTTGATCCCATGTATTTTTATTCTGCGAAGACTCTTCTATACGTCACATATTCACTCAACACGAACATATAGTGCCAATAACTCGGCAAGAACTTAATTCGTCCTCTGCAATTATGGACTCAGATAGCGTATCTTCCTCAAATTCTTCGGAGTCTTCTAGGGAGTTGAGTCTTACCGGTGACTCTCAGTCAGAATACGAGATCGTTGTAACGGAAGAAACGAAGCAACAGTTTTCCAAAGGGTTCAAGAAACGCCCTAATGTCCATGACCTCATGCGCTGGAAGCAAAATCATAATGACATGGTGAGTGTTTCCAACCGCACGACCAACTGCCAGTCTCGAAGCTTTCCATTAGGTATGCAAGAATTGCCTGTTACGCGGGCAAGTCTGCACGCCGAAGGACAATTCGGCCGTATGTATCAACTGTGAGGAGCAGCGAGTCCGCTGTAGTCGTGCCTTGCAGGAAAAGAAGACACGAATGCGACGTTTGTTGAATCTCTCGTATCCGGAGTTGGATTTTTTAGTGGACTGGTATGAGAAAAGAAAGATAAAGCGTAGCCTTGTTCGGAGGCCACCCATCACTCCAAGCTCCAAAAAGACGAAGTTTCAAGACACTCCGACATTGAGCCCGGAGATCCAAGCGAAGACAGCAAGGGCTTGCCGATATGAACCTGAAGAGGATCAGTACGCTTCTTCGCAAGTGAGGGTTGTCGTTCTTTCCTTCACGTGAACAAAAACTGAGCCTCATCATACAGACACTAAGCTCCAGCCTTGTCTATGAACATGACCCAATGGACCACGCCACCGCTACAAACTTTCAAGAAATGTGGAACGAATACATGAATGATCATCGAAGTGCAAGCCCTCAAACGCCCTCTAGGGAAGATGGTGCTGGTCTTGACTTCGTGACTCTTGAACATACAGACACTGTCGGTGATCTGGAAATGGCGAATCACGAAGGCCCAGAGACTTCAGCTGAACGTGCAGATGTTTTCTTTGACGGGACTGTGGCGTCTACAGAAGGTATATTATCGTTTAAACTTTACCGTATATCTCAACGTACAAAATGAAGGTGCAGCTGAAAACCTGGCGGCTCTCACCTATATCGAGCTTCTCTTGCACAAGAGGGAGGTGGAAAACATCACTGAAAGCGTGAGGATAGGGAATATCACTCAGTCACAGCTGGTCAAAGCACTGGAGGCCGTCTCGGACGGGTTATATGGACTCGCGATGAAGTACGATGTGGGCTTCGAGTCAGGACAAGCAAGTTTAGTGGGAGGGCCAGAACAGCAAACTGATTAATGTATGCATGATATTACTTTAACAGTGAAATGGATGTTAAAATACCGGACAAAGCACTGGTCTGTCCAAGGTCTGTCGGAAACAATGTGTTTGGCCCTTCCGGGCCGGTTCTTCACGTGGTTGCATCCTGCCCCTCATTCGCAAGTACTACGATAAATTTTCCCGGCGCCAAACAGGCAGGAGGAGTTATCGCAGAAAGCCTACATCAATCTGTCAGCTACTATCCCGTAAATCAGGTTCGGTATATCTGTAGGCCCCGTTTCCTTGGTACGCGTCGCTGAAAAAGGGGTGGCTGTGACCATTGGGTTCAACGTTTCTTGTCGTGTTCCTCGTATATTGTGGGTTTACTTTCTTTTCTTGTCTTTGCGCTGACTGAGGTGATAGGAAAGCTATGGTCCTCGCGCTCTCATGTGCCGAGTGCGGAAGCACTTCAATATCCCTCGATACGGTCATTGCCAAGCACCACGATGACCAAAGACGCGTACCGCTATCTTCAATAGCCTCCCTACTATGCTCAAATGACTCTCCTACGTTTCTGGAGCGTAATAACCTAAAAGCGTCGGTCAACAGTGTCGACGAGGCATTAGACCAGCTTGCAATTGACATTCACGAAACTTCCGAGGCCCTCACTAGACTGAAAGAGAGGCGCGACCAACTTCTGGACGTGAAAGCAAATATCAGATAGCATTAACGCCCATTCGACGCGTGCAGCCCGAGATTCTCATGGAGATATTTTGGCAGTTGATGGATGACGGAATGTACAACGTTCTCGACGTTAATACGGGACCTTGGGGTCTGGGTCGAGTGTGTAGCAGGTGGAGGGCGATCATCAATTACCACTCGTCCAAGCTATGGTCTAAACCGACATGTCACATCTCACTCATCATGCCTTTCCCAAAGAACCCGCTTTCCCTTCTCACCACAGCCCTCAGCCGTTCCGGACAACACGACCTCACTGTTTCTTTCTATGATTTGACACAAAGCGTGTCCCGTTTGAAACTATATCAGCACTTCTCCACCTCTTTATGAACCACTCGACTCGGTGGAGGGAAGCCAGGCTTACCTTACGACTGACCCTCTGCGATGCTCTCACCGTCGTCCGTAGTCGGGTCCCAGTCCTCACTGTGCTGAGTTTGAGGTGCTTGGAACCGATTCAGATGTTGGTTGACGCCTTCGAAATGGCTCCTTGTTTGATGGACATTACACTGATGGGAATGGGAAAGGATGCGAAAATCCCCATACCAGGCTCCCAACTGGTTCACTTTTCAGATGACCGGGTGTACAGCGACTTTGCAGCAACCCGTCATTTCCTCAGTATCATTAGCAAGTCCTAGCAGCCCAAAATGTTCGAAGTGGGCAGTTACCATCCTGAAGGCGATTCATCCTTGTCTCTTAACCCACGCATTCGGAGCCCATCTCTCATACATTTCGCCGCATGCGATCCCAGCTTAATACGTAGTCTGGAGTTACCAACACTGCAGAGCATGCGTTTAATACGCAGCGGAATGGCTGATGAATTGGAAGTGTTGACTTCGCCGGACGCGCTCTCAGCTTTGCACGGTATGCTCAGCCGTTCCCAGCGCTCCCTCACTCTCACCTGTCTCGTCATCCACGAGGCATACATCGACATGAACCTCATCGGCATAATGGAAATATCCCCCCAAATGACGTTCCTCTCTCTTCATGTTTGCAACGGACGGTGGTCCCAAGCCTCAGATGAAACGTACCGAAAACTACTTTCCCGCACGGCGGAAACTATTGCGGACAACAGGCACAACATTCTTCCGCACCTCCAATTTTTTTATATGGACGTCACTAATAATCCGCACGATGGGAATATCACTTTCGTCAATCGTGGATTCGTGGAGATGGTTTCGTCACGGTGGTCAAAGTCACCTTTGAAGTCGGTTATTACAATTTTGAGTACTACACCCAGGATACGGTTGATCAGCCCGGGAATGTTGTCGCGCGAGGATGTACAGACTCTGAGGCAGTACCAATCGGCAGGGTTAGATATCCAGGTCTGGGCTGATGATGATGATAGCATGGATCGGCGTCGTTATGTGTGATCGTTGAAGACCACAGAATAAATCAGGTCAGGCTTGACAGTCTTTTATGCCCTTGGGTGGAAACTCACGAGCTTGCTAACAGAATTGTTGGGATAGTCATTTTGTTAAGTGCCCATGTTCAGAATCAAAAAGTATTACACAGAGATTAAGCTTACCGATGCTTGAACACCACCTAAGCAGGTTTGTATCATGAGTTAGCACTCGGGGACAGACGAATGACACGTAAGGCTGTGTGACTGAAGTGCCTGTAGGCTTTACACAAACGAACAGCAGTGAAACGATGGGCTACATCTATTGCAAACGCGCCAGGGAATGACTAACGCATTTTACAGGCTTTCATAGTACTTATTTAACTCACAAACACCCCTAAAAATGACGCTTGCAAATCTGAGCAAGAATACCAGTGGCGACTTGACTGTCAAAGTTGGCAAACGGAATGATTAGCGGTGCTGTCCGATCCCGAAATTCAACGGTATCTAAGGATTCTACTTCGGAAGGTAAGGTACTAGTTGTCTTTGGCGAATTTGAAGTTGGGAAGCCCGCACAACGATCCTTCAGCTTGTTCTTTTCATCCAACACCGCGCTCATTTTCAAGTCATACGCTCACTCTCTCAACGTTCCAAGCCGACGCAAGTGTAATCTTGGTATGCCTTTGACTTGCATTGCATTAGATGTTGCACACAGCTAATTTTTTTAACCACGGCGCCTATCTTCCACATTGCTTGATAAGGTGAAGTGCGCTGTAAAATGATATCTATTATGCTTGTTGTACTGACTGAATGCAGCAGTTTTTAACAAAATCATGATCCTATCACTAGCCTGCGCCGGCTGCGGAAGAGACTCGACATCCCTGAATACAGTCAAAGCATCAGGATGACTAATGACGTGTACCACCTTCCATAGCTTCACTACTACGCTTAAACGATGCACCCACCATCTTCGAGCTAAAAAGCCTCAAAGAGTCTGTGGACAGCGTTGACGAGGCATTGGACCAACTTGCAATTGACATCCATGAATTGTCTATCGCCCTTGCGAGGCTGAAAGAGGGGAGACAAGCTTCGTAGCCTTGACTGCTGGCGCCATAAATTAAACGGTTTACTTTGCTTGTGTCAACAGTCATGGTCACTCCCGAATCCCGAAAGAGATAATAGGCTAGCATCCGGTTACAGGCAGTCCGTAGTACTCTGTACAATGGTTATATCTCCTTTGCCGATCATGATCATGGATTCATGCTACCTACCTACCTACCATGGTGATGATTGCACGTTAATGCACAAAGCCACCTGAGTTCCGTCTAAGTTCAACGGAATATTTTTCGCCAAAATTTTCTCACCAAACTGGAATACGCATGGTATGCCGTTACATGCCACATGAAAGGGTTCCGAGAGCGTCATCGTACCTCAGTGCTCCGTACTCTTGATCTTCAACCATCATCGTGAATTCAGTCTGTCGGGTAATTCTTTTATTTCTCGACCAGAGCCCCTTGCTAATAAGATCATATGGAAACGGACATGCAACTATGGACCCCGTGCCTGGCGATACTCATACTCTCAGCGGAGCTTCTTAGAACCTGGCTTATATCCGTGGGAGTCATGCCACACTTGAAACTTCGAGGACGAGCACGATACTTAGAAGAATAGCTTAATTCAGGCCTGAGCTTTGCCGTCCTGATAATAGCGCATCTGTTCAACGGAGCTATTCGACGCTTCTTTCAATTCTATGCCATGATTCAGATGCCCGGCTCCAATCGTGCCGAGTACAGCGAGCGTACTTCTGATTTTGGAAGTTTTCAACAATTACGAGGCGGTTTTCTGATGACCTCGGTGTTACGACCTCGTATACTAGTGCCAGCTCCAAAGCAAAATAGCTTTACACTCAGGTAAAGCCAGCTCCAATGAATGAGGTATTGACGATAATTTGGACAGCTTTCAGCGGGTTTCTAATTTATGCAGTCGGCTGAGTGGGGCACAAGGGCCTCTTCGAATGAGTGCTACGGAACAATTCTTAGCGTGGCTGTTAGAACGCTTTGCGGCAAACACAGGGTCAACTTCTTTCGATATTTCTGGTTGGTCTGCCGTATTTGAACTGCAACTCAACATCTCCCGCTTCAAATTCTGTTCTTAGGCAACTAGTACTATTCGAGTCTACTCCCTTAAATCGCTTTCACCTATGACAGTCCGGTAGCGACGCAACGTCGACAATGTCACCCACCAGGATGACAGCCCGCTGACGACTCTAGCGAGTATACTGTATAGGAGACTGCGAACAACGTCGCAGTCGGTCCAAGGATGGCACTTCGGAACTCGACGAACTTCATTTTCTGATTGTAAATTGTAATTTACTCCCAAAGAGTATTCTGGCTGCCAATTCCCAGGGCCAACGTTTCCTTGACAGGACAGTGACGCACACTATTCATCTCACCAGCATCCTTCGATTCCTACACATATTGGCCCAGAATCGCTATCGTTCTTCATACTTGGGCTTAGACTATGTGTGCAGGCTGTTATGGCACCTCAATTAGGATCAGGTGGCTACTAGCACCTTTCCTCGTCTCCTCTATAAAAGCATAGACAAGTCGAGTCTGAGAAGGCTCAAGTTCACGATGCCTGCTTCATAATATTCAATGAATGTCCTCTTACCTTGATTACCAGAGGCCTACAACATCGAGCCTGCGCTTCTCTTGGCCATCGCATCGACTGGGAATGTCATAGACTTTACCGCTGGCACTTTCACTCTCGACGTTCTCAAAAAGTGAGTGTTTATCTTTCGACTTGAGAGTATCATTTATCGGCATATGTATGAGAACTCCTTTCAGGCATAATGTCATCGAACATGATGCATCCATTTCCCGCTCCGACTTCCTGCTCGGAGACAACCTTCACTTCAACGAAACTATATACACAGCACTCGCGCAGTCCAACCCCAGCGTCTCTTATTACAACACGACCTCCGCGGGGCAAGTTATAAAACAGCGAATTGCCGACGATAGGCTTGCCAACCCGAAAATCTTCTTAACACCCGTCAACTGCGAAATTCATGCTATAGAGTCGGCCCTGTATCTGAGTGTCATGGGAGATCCGTCGACAGGTGTCGCACCTAAGCGGTCCGTCTCTCCTCAAAGTGTTTTCCCGAAGCTGAACTGAAATATTTCACCTCTAGGCTTGTAGATATATTTTTTAGGGAGGAACGTATGCCTTTTGGGGGAGGGTGGAATATACCAAGTATGCTTATCAATGAGGCGTCGCTGTTGGAGCTTGGGAGTGATATCGTTCAAGCTAGTGGTGATGACTGTATACAAGACATCTAACGTTCACTTGGTACCTACGATTTCAAAAACGACGCTGATAACTGCCAACGATGACATCCAACTACTCTCGGTTCCACCTTCCTCTTCTTGGCACACCAGAACTTAAAAGCATAGGTAGAATGGTTCGAATTGATGATATTTTGTTCCGTTACATATCCTAGTTCCAACGACGCCCATTTTCATGAATGTTGTCATACTAGTCACTGCCTCCTCCACCCACGTTTCCCCCCAATGCCAACTCCCGCGTCCGATCCCGCATATGCTACGCACTGCGGGTCCTTCGCCGATTGAAGCTGATGGCGCCTGACCGCATCCTTTCGAGTAAACATGCGTTTACATCCCCTGCAAAGGAACGAAGCAGGTTGTCCATGACTTGCCGTTCGGCAGTGTCTTTTGACGTCGGCGATCCGAACCGAGGTGTATGGGCAGCCAGTGTGAGGGCATATCAATGTTCTGCGACCGGGATGATGTACGGCGTGAAGAAATGCTTCTTCGGGGGACATAAACCGTAAAGTACATTTAGACCAAGGGCATCGGAAAGAAGGAACTGGGGCGTCTTCTTCGTTGGTGGGTTGTATACTCATAGGAGATAATGCAGCACGATGAGAATTGACCCGCTGAGCACAGTCGAAGGAAGTTATTTCTGATTCCAGCGCGTGAACCCTGGGATTAGATGCCGTGCTCTGCGACGGTGAAGAGGGTACCACCAAAGTTCGTGTCTGGTGTGGGTTAAAAGGCTTTCCGTGAAATCTGCCGTCAATGTTAGGAGGATGATCAATCGCAGGCCAGAGAGGTTGCGATAAAAGAAGGTGTGCCGGGAAGATAGGCTGGTCGATAAGTACATCAGCCATACTTGATCCTTTAACCATCGTGTTTTGTGTTGGTTGCTCGGTCAAGAATAGTGGGGTCCAAAGCGAGTCAAACCAGTTGGTGACCCCGGGGGTGCTGGCCACATCAGAATGTGACAAATATGCAGCCTCGGGACAAATGGAGTGGCCAAAGGTCGGGGCAATAGTGGCATTGATGTTAACGTTCATTCCAGAACCATTATGTGTTGCCTGAATTCATTAGAAACCGTCAGAATACCAGTAAAGCCCTAAAGGAATGGACAACAAAGCATACATTGTTGAAGAGACTCTGAAGGGAGTCCCCGCCTTTGGATTGAGGCAGATGGGTGCAATTCTCGCAAGCACTGGGCTCTATGAACCGATCAAAGATTTCGTTGAGGTCCAAGTCTCCTTCATCGACAAAAGATGGCTGGTAATACTTGGGATTGGCAGAGGCCATGGCAGTTTGCGTGGGCTGTATTCACCCTTCAGTTGAATGGATGCTCATATAATAACCGAGTCAAACAAAGCAGGTACATTTGGATAGCATTGACTTTGCTTCTCAAAGAATATCACTTACTCATCTCAAATTGTCGGACAAGCCGCTCAATAGCTCAACGCGAACAATACTACTGTGCATCAGAGACAATGAAAATCTTGAAAATGCCACAGGAAGACAGAGACGCACCAGTCATCCTCGCTAGTCATTGTTCGATGAACTGCAGATTTCCAATTCATTCGTTAATGCATCTTCAACAGTTCACGTTCAAAGCCCCATGCCATCCTCTATCGCACACCCTATGTCACTTTTATACGTATACGACAACGGGGTGATGGCACCAGAATTTCTTCTTGTTTTTAGACAAAGTCACCCAGGGCAAGACAAGGCGTAATTGGTCTATTGAGGTGAGATAATCGCATAAGAGAACGGAACGTCATGGTTGGCACTGATTGACCCTGGGGAGCGGATTTACATCATTTTGGATTTATTTATTTATTTAATTAATGAGTACAAAACTCCCATTGGAATACTCGCGGCTCCAAAATACCATGCCAATTGGGCCATACCGCGTCGTACATGATTTATCAATGGTAGTTCCTATGCGTCGTCGTTTACAACATAGAGATGCGAACCACCCAACTTCCAAACCATTTGTGCGACGAAAAGATACTGAGAAGATAGTCGTTGAGAAATGCTGGAACGTAGAGCCACCGCTGAACGAAACTTTAGGGTTGTCCTGAATGGTTATCATCCTGGATACGGAGCGTGAGATACACTGTGCTTTTTCTCATAGTCATCCAGGTTTCTGGACGAAACGTCATTGAAGTGAGTATCGCCGGTACTGATAGGATGGACAGCAAGCGCACCTTGCAGCAACCATGACTCTAAGCAATATATCAGGTAGTAAGCGTCACCCTGAGTCATTCGTAGGTGACTATTCAGGACCTGCACATTACCTGCTATTTCTGCGACACATGAATATCGAAGGTCCGTCGAAATGGGCAGGATGGATGTTCATTGTCTACCTAGGATGCTTCGTCAACTTTCTTCTGACAGCTGTGCCGCGTAATCACTGGGTTGTTCTTGATAATATGCACGGTTAATAAAGAGGCTCTTCTGCACTAAATGCATCGATTTTCTAACGGCGACATTCCACAGAACATCCCTACCAATATGCTGGACCTATCTTTCCTGATCGACAACCCGGAGACTCCAAGGACAGGGATAATTGGGCTAGTCCGTTGTCTCGTTTCCACTAGACCTGCTTGGGCGAAACTCAGGAATGGCTTGTTGCGATCTCTTATACCCCCTAACCAATCCAATAAATGTGTGGGGAACGATGGTTGTCTATGCCTTGAAACACAATAACTACTCAAACCTCATGCCACCAATCGGCCCGAAGCATTGTGATATAACCTCCTCCCCAGCCGGACCTTCTGAAGCAGCGTTACTAGTATTGAATGAGAAATTTGACGAAGAAACTGGATTGATGTGGGTCTTGAGTCTGCGGTCACGGTGTCTAATTTTTTATAAAGTTCAATAAATCATTCCGTTACCGACGCATCACTCTGGAACAACACGTTGTCGCACCAAGACCTCTCTTCGATGATTGAAAAAAAGCAGGGCCAAGTAATAACCCCCGTTATCGATTTTTTGAAGCATCAATTAAACCAACTATATACAAGTCTTCTCATATCCCACAGATCAGAACGGATGTTCCGAGATAAATAATGATATACAGGTATCCGTCGAAACAATCGTGCTATTTTACCCCGAGTGTATGACAGCCAGACGGAACCCACGCTGCCATTGGACGAGCTGACGATTTTTCGAGATATGACAGATTGGTCCCCAACAGCACGCCGACATATACCTGTACAGTCAAGATATCCAAATAATCAAAATGGAATCCTATTCGGGCTGTATACTCATAGTCTCATTCGGGTCGAAGAGTGAGGCTTGTATTTAAAGCACCTTTGGCTGCGCGTTTCATAGTTCGGCAAATTCGCTCACGCTTCTGTGGCGACAATGAGTAAAAAGGTATGCTAATATATACGTTGGCTTATTTGGAGTCTGAGCGGAGAACGCTCCTGCCTCAGTGAGGAGGAAGTCTGAGATTCATAGTGACTCTGGTCCCTCGGCTGCTTCTGACCGTATCGCAACTGCACATTGGTCAGAAACAGCAGGAAGGGGACTCAGGTGTGATGTTGAAAAAACGAATGGTCAAACCAGTGATCACTTGTAACCTCAGAATCAGATGTTCTTCCGAGGCCACCGGAGACTCAGCAGGAGGGTAACTGCTGTGTCGTGCACAAGATCAGAGCGTGTTTGGTCATGACTTCTCAAGGACAGACACGTCGTAGACCTCGAAACAGATGAAAATACATTGGCCCGTCTTTCTATCTCCAGATCTATTCGTCCAATTCTGAAGAACAGCCCTGGTTCTTGTCGGTGGTGTACTCGATCCTATGGAAATCCTTGACCAAATAGAGATGTGAATAATGAAGGGGATCGCCTCCGACGGAGTATCGGGTAAAGAAATGGCGCTGTAATTTCTGGCCCAGACTTAGGCCGGCCTCCACTACAGTCCATCGTACTGTATCTGAGTCGTTCTCATCGTCACTTTTATATTACCAACAGAATCCGAACGGTCGCAATACTCTTTGCATTTGACGTCGTCTATAATCCTGGTCCATCGCATCAGAGTCATGACAGTCATACTCGTAGCGATGTTCCGGGGCTCAAAAAAGCATCAAACTAAAGTTGGAAGATAGCGTTTTCTAGATCACGATAGAGGATAAGTAGTAGTATGCTTATTCACCTAGCATACAGCTTTCTCTCATCAGAAAGCTTCCAGCACACGCAAGTTCAAGGAACCTTGCCTGCTGTATTACATAATTTTCTTTGCCTTTCTCCACGATGACAAGAGGCGAATATTGCCGGTGGGATTTTTCATAGTCGACTGCGTTATTCAGCTGATCTTACTATACAGCCGGATTTTAAGAACTCTCAAGGTAGCAAAGAAGGTAAAGGTTTTGCCATTAACATCTTCGATAGACAGAACCCTTTCCCCTACTATCCCTCTATTCATCTTAGGGCTGAATCTTTTCTTTTTCAAATGTCAAACTGATGCCTTACACACCTTTGTGATCACCTGAAATCTTATTCTTTTGTTGTGTCATCATACTATTTGCAGACGTCCTGCGAAGACATTCAAGCAGTTCGTCCGTCCTGGGCTTGATGCACAAACAAGCATACATGAAGATCTTTCTTTTCTCTTTGTGTGTCCGTTAGTCATTAGAACGTTTTGAATACCACGGTTCGTTCATATCAGGAGCTGTTGCATTTAGGGTGTCAATTCATTGAGCTGTCACAGTTCACACGTCTTTCAAGGATTCTGTGCTGTATCGATATGCAGTTTTCACTGCCACTAAAGTCCCATATCATCCACAGCTTTGGAAGACGAATCGGAAAATGCACCGGTTTTGCTACGAACTCTTCCTGACAACATTGGCCTCTGTTAAATTAAGACATCTAAATTGCCAGACCTATTCCTACGCCATGTCTACCACTTCCACCTTCAAGAAGGGTGGCTCTAGGTCCAAGCAACAAGCAAGGACACGTAGCAGATGGATCCTGAGGCTATGGAATCAACGAAATAATTCCGATACGTGTAGCTCTCAAGCTGTTTCTACTACAGAGTATGACGCGGATTCCGTAGGTCTTGAGCTATCCTTCCCTGCGAGATCATCCCCTTCCTCGTCATTGACAGCGATAGACTCGCAGGAACAACATCATCCCCACCTATCAGTCGTGCCATCGATCTCCAGCCTTGCTGCACCATCCGGTGATGAGACTGACACTCCTGATAAGGACCACGTGTCAGCCTCGAGCTGTTCGCATGTCGCTAGAAATATATCAGAGATTGCCGAACGAGAGGTTACCACAGTTGCGAGTTCATCGAATCCCGCATCGTATGCTTCGGCGGAAGCTATCGAACAAGACGTCTCTCGACAATTGGTCTCCCATAGCGATAACTCTTCAAGGGGCTACCAAATCTCTCCCTCTCCTAGGGTTGGGGATGATGATTCGGGTGTCGCCACTAGCATCCCACACATCGTGGTCTCAGAGGACATATCGCCAAGAGCCGCAGAGGCATCGCAGCCTACAACCCGTGTTATGCGCAGCTCGCAGACTCCGTTGTGTTTACCAACACCGGAAGCCACAACCAGCGAGGCGGTCGCTCAGGTTGCGGAATCTAGCGAATCAATATCCCTGCCCCGAAGGAGTGCTGTGAACCACACATACGACTGGTCTACGGATCAGAGGGAGTTCGAGGAGTGCATTCCATCTCATATCGGACATTACAACAGGAAGACGCATATGTTGGTGCTTCCGTTTACTTCATTTTAACGTGACTAACAGCAGTATTTAGAGATGAAATGACTGTAGCCGAATTCACAGTACCCGCTATGCAAACTGACTTCAACACATATAGACCCATTTTGCCTCAAACGTACGTGTATCTTTTCGCTATCCAGTCAGCATCTTGACTCGTTATTGAAGGGAAGGGGAAGAAGTTTTGACTGCAGGCTGGACGAAGCACACGCATTCAGACGGTAAGCCGTATTTTTATCATGATCATGATGTGTGTTTTCCTAGTTCGATTAAGGAATTAGCTCTGAAAATTCTTCTTTTAGAAAATAATCACTGAGGAGTGGTTGTACGACAGAGCCATCGCCGAGAGGATATCCAGATACATCAGCATACTTAATGATGCCATTTCGAAAAGGTCCGAGTCTTTCGGTCGCGTCAAGTCCTGGCATCTATATGTAGAAATCACGGAGCCTGCGCGGGAAAATGATAATTGCACTCGTTGCAGATATTATTTTGTCAACCACGATGCGGAGTGCATCTTCTGGCTTTCTCAGTGCCCACTGGATGGTTATCTTTGGGAGCTCAGGGGAGATATAAGCCCGGACTTGATTCGCAGTAAGTAGGCAGCTTGAGCGAGTGTGATCGCAAGGCTTATTGATTTCAAGGGTTCCTACAAAGAGAATACTGGTACTTCTCTTCGCATAGTTTGATGATTGTCGATAGTGATATCCCCTAGGAACCATCATTATTTTTTCAGCGAACTTCACCTACTCACGAAAGCGCAATGGAATTCCGTCCAAAAAACTATCTTGCTCGCTGAAGCAGGTGATCTCTTCTTCTTCATCCCTTGTTGTACGATGTGGAGTTTAACTCTTCCTTTCCAAAGATGTGACCATGTCCGACACTTCAACGGTGGCTTGGAGTATTGAAAAGCTGAAGAATATGAGTGAAAGCATTATCAAAGCAGAAAGTAAGGTATCGCACTTTAGTCAAGACGTTACCATCAACGGAATTCTTTTCTCAGAACTAGACGTGTCCGAAGTGGCAGGCAAGCCCAGTCCATCATAGTTGCCAATCATTTCCGCTGAAATAGCCTTCAGCATCGTGCATGGCGTCCCTATGTGAGTATCGCATCTATTTTCTGTTGGTTAGCACCGTCTGATTATAACCGTCAGTACATGACCAAATTCTCAACTATGTTGGACAACGGGATGTTCGAACTAATCGAGATGAATCGGTTTATGGAAATGACTATAGCGGTAGGGAGCCCACCGTTCCATTCAGGATAATGAACCTCCTGCTGTTCTACGCGCCGATTAAACACTATATTTTTTTGAACAAGATCTGGGTGGATAGAATTATTTCAAGGGGCCAATGGCAATACCTCATAGAGCAAACTACGAATAAATGGCAACAGCACGTCGGACTGGTACGTATGACGTCTTGACATCCTTTAAAGAAGAGTCATGTGACAACATAACTAGGCCACAATCCTTCTTGCGGTTAACATGGGTTTTCTCGCTATACCTTCAGTCGACAAGATGGTTGAGACACAAACTCTATGTTATTTATCTGTCGCCAGTAGCATGGGTACTATCGTCATCGGCCTTTTACTTGTAAACCACCATAATTCCATGAAGGATGTCAATGTTGGCGTCGTGGTGCGTTTGATATATCTATTCTGGACACCTACGATAGTCTTACTGCTAGCTGACAGGCGTCTTTCCTTGAACGGCACTGGCAACTGGATCTAGGATTTGAACGATTGTCGATCATGTACAGCATCCCTTATGCTCTTCTTATGTGGGGGTAAGTTCTTGATTTCTGAATTTTCGTCTCTTAAACTGACCAAGGATATTAGCATGGTATCCTTTCTGGTATCATTCTTCTCGATGTGTTTGGAATCTTCCAATCCCATCTCGATGAAAGTTTTCATGACACTGGTATTCATTTTGGGGATTGCACTTTGTCTGTGGTGCATTTACTTGTTGTGGGATGGAAGCAATCAGTGGTTACAGCAGTGCTTTGAATTTCAGCAAGGTCCTCTTTTCGATTTAAGGGAGACATTGCGTTCTATACTGTCATATGAAAATCTCCTCCGGTTGCGAGATAAAATCCGACAGGCAGCCATGCAAACGACAGAAAGTCTTTTACCGACCACAACTGATGGAGTATAAGCAGATGATGATAAAACAAAACAGTTCGAAGTTTTCCATGCTTTTTTTTTGTACTTGTACCTGTGTATGTACCTTGGTACACTTTGTGTTGAATAGATTTGAGAAAGGATGGATGTTTATTAGTTGTTGTACAAATCTCTTCATCATCCAGACATGCACTGTGCATGCATAAGTACAACAATCCTTACAAGGAAGGGCTCCTCTAACAATGATGCTGTGTGAAGGCTGGGTAAACAAGTACATGAAGAGTGACAAGCTTATGGGGATATGCAAAGGACAGACATGTGTACTAACCAAAGACATGCTTTTATAGCTTCACATCAGTAGATATCTTGTCTATTATTTAGTGAAATGAGTGAATGACAAAAACAGTACTTGAGTTAACAGGCAGCTTGAGTCTGATGATGTTTATGACTTGAAGCATGAAGCACCAAAGAATGAGAGGAATAGAAGTGATGCCTTTCACACTCACTGGGTCTGAGAGGTAATGGTAGTAATTGAATAATCTGAACATTTTCTGGTATGTAGAATATTTGCATGTATAATACAATCCAAAATAGTAGCTATTCAGTGGGATCCAACACTAACTGTTGATAAAGCAAGATGATAAGAGTGGTGAGATGTAAGATGATGATAAGGAGAAATAGAAAGAGAAGGGATCAGTGGGCTTTAGTCACCAGTGTAAGATGCTGACAAGAAAGTCATGCTGAGAATCAAGTATTTTAACCTTTGCTCAAGACTAGAGTTACAGTTTGTATTCTACTTGTTTTAAATACTGTTCTAGAAAGTCTTAGCCCTACAGGCACTTATAGTTCTGTTCATGCATATAGTAAGCATGTCCCAATAGCAATATTTCTTATGCTCAGCAGATGCACTATTATCTGTCTGCTATGAAGTCATTGCAGTGAGTTTTACTTGAGCTGCTGTTGCTCTGACTAAAACTGCACTGTTGCATAGTCATTCCATATGGTCTGCATGCCACTACTGGCTGTATGTCATGAGATAATGAGTAAAGTACAGTATTGTGTCATTATACATGCATTATTCATAGTTTCATATGGCTCTGGCATAGTTTATTAGAGGCTAAAATCATGATATTACCCTCTCTTCAATTATCCTCAATTACTTGAGTGGTCTCAGAAACAAGATGTTGACCTCATCTCACTCATCAATTTCTGCTAAAGTGTCCTATATTTTATTCAAAGGGTAGTTTTAAACCACAAAGATCTCTGCTTTGATCTTGTCAATATTCTTTTATATAAACAACTTCTTGGCTTCAAACAGATGTCTCTTAAGTTCAAAGAAGAGTTCCTGAGTTCTGATATAGTCAGTCTCATTAAACATTAGCTATCTCAGTCTAATGTTATTGACAACTGCTAGTGGGTTCTATGCTGCATAGTACTTTGCAATAAATTTCTTCATATGTGAGAGATCCTTTTTTATATACCAACAGTTCTTCTTATGGCTATACCCCTTGAAGTGAATTAGGAACCACTGCTTTCAATAACAAATCTTGTCATTGAAGATTGTGTTGATCTTATATTCATCTTCATCATCTACTACCACTGGATTTAGCAGTAGTAGTGCCTTCTGGTTAGAGAATTCTGCTACTTAAAATGGCTTGAATAAGTTTTCATTAAAGATAGAATGGATTTTCCACATCTTCAGAATAGATATCTCATAGACCTCATCATCTACTTTCTTTGACCTTGAAGGGTGTTTTGAACTTGTCATCCAGTTTTTCCATCTTTCTATCTATCTTCAAGTTCTTCATATCTAGTATTATCAGATCATCTGACTGGTTTTCTCTCATTGGTATCTTTATTTTATATATCATCTTTTCATCATTTCTACCATCTTGTTTAACACAAGTTCAGCCTTACTGTGGATCTTCTTCAACTCAGCTGCAGAGTCTTTCATCTAATGTATTTGACTCTCCCTTTATAAAGAGTTCATTCTGGTGTTCTGGTGTGTTTTGGTGTTCATGAAAAATGGGCTGAATTCTGTTGCTGAGTTTTTGTGGTTGTTATAGGTAAACTCTATCATAGAGAGCCACTCTATCCAGTCATTCTGTCTGAGAATGATCTGCCATGAATAGATTTCTTATAATTCTGAGCAACTTATGCAGTTTCTTGATAAACTGTGAAATAAACTGTGAGCCTCAATCTGAGATGATTTTATCTGAAAGCCTATAATAGATGTACATATGATCTCAGAAAAGGTGTGCTCAGCCTTCTGCATTCAAATTTATATTGGCCATAATAGGAATAAGTTCCTTTAAAAATCTGTTTATTACTGTCAGAATGATATCATATCTCTTGGATTCTAGAAGATGCTCTATCATATCTACTGAGATCATCTTCCATTTGTCTAAAGGAATCTCATTCAGATGCAGTAGTGCTGCCCTTTTCTGCATGCTTGATTTTACTCACTGACATATTTCACAGCCTTTCATGTAGGCTTCCACTGACTGTTTAAGATTCAGCCACCAATAGTTGCATGTGATAAGATCCTGTGTCTTTACAATTTCTAAGTGTCCTACCATTGAGTGACCATAGCAAGTGATCTCACTATAGAATTTCTTGTTGGTAGAAATATATAATCAATCATAAAAATAATATCTCCTCTCTTTCTTCTCATTATCATATGCAAGCTGTACTACTTCCTCTATGGACATCTTATCTCATCAAATTCTCTTTAGGACTTCTGAAGCTGTAGGAAAAACTATAGCATTTATATAAAACAGCTCAGGCTTGAATACTATGATTTTCTTATTATCATTGCTCTCTTGATTATAATTTACTTATTGGCTGTGCTAGACTTATAATAAAGTGTGAAATAGTATTTAGCTAACTCAGTCATCCAGTACACTTGTCTGTGGTTCAACTTCTGTGGCTTCTTGAAATACTAGAGATTCTGATAATCTGTCCAGGTTTTAAACTTATACTTTGCACCCATAAGATAGTGGCACTATTCCATTATTCATTCAGAGACATTATGATGGCCAATAGTTTTTTATCATATATTTTATAATTTTGTTTTGTAACAGATAGCATCTTGGGTAAATACACAATAGACTTCTACTGTCTATTCTGTTCCTAATTGAGAATGGCTCTGAGAGCTTCTTCTAATGTGCTGGCTTCTATCTTAAATTTTCTGTTATTGATTGGGATTGTGAGAATGGAGTCTGAGCAGATTTAGTACTTGATCTTCTGAAATATATATTCTTATATCTCTTTCCACTTTTATTCTATTTTTTCAGTGAGCTTGGTCAAAGATAGAGCTATCTTGCTATAGTCTTTTATAAAATGTTAGTAAAAGATTGCAAATCCTAAAAAGATTGCAAAACTCTCTTTTTAGTGCTCTCATGATGTCATATTTGACAAGAGCATACTGCACATCATAGTGTGAGTATAAGAGAGACAGAAAGTGATGTACTCACCTCTGCACTCTCAAACATAGCATTGTCTACTGTAACACTAACTACTTTTTCATCTATTAATTTAGCAAATATTCTATGTAGACCTATATGTACAGATGATTAGTGACCTGAGCAGTGATTATACCTTCACAGATATGTATACTGATAATGTCTGAAGTATATCCTCTAGCAAGAAGAAGGCAAATTATTGAAAGAATGAGCTGCAGAAGAAATGAGAGCTGAATGATGTGGAAGAGAATCACTACTTTCTAGAGATGAAGATAGACCAGAATCTTGAGATGAAAAAAATATTCATCTCTCAGTGACTGTACTAGGAGACAGTCATTGTAGACTTTGACTTTGAATATTTGACTCTGCATTTGACTCTACTCTCTGTTGGCATCATCCTCAACAGATACCAGTGTATGACTATGCAAGCTGAGAGAGATGAAATAACCTATATCTCTATCACTATCTTTTTGGTTGAGTTATATGAAAACAACTGGTCTTGCTCTGATCTTTGTTATCCTTATATATTTTCAGTCAAACACAGATCTTCTCCACTGGTATGTGTTACTCTATAATATAACATGTGAAAGAAATGATAGACTATATGTTAGACCTGAGTGACATATGAACTAGAACACATGGTAAATAAGCACTGTATCACATTTGTACAATCATGCTTAAGTCCAATAATGTGTTTGTGGATGTTATATCCTAAGGTCAATGCAAGTAGTTGACTCAAGGTAAAGTGGTAGAATAAAGGATAGTTTGAGACTAGGGATATATGGTATTATCTATGCTACTTATATATCTCTAGGTCTGTTGCTAAATATACTACTACTAATTGTAAGTGTCTGTGCTATAGTACTTGTTGTTCTGACAAGATGGTGTTACCTACAAAAGGCTTGTTGCACTATTGTCAGAGTGTTGCTACAAGTCAAGAGACAATAGCTGATTGTGCTGACCAAGATTGTCCCATGGTCCTAAGCACTGGCATAGGTGCCCTGACTAAGCATAAATAGAGGTTAATACTGTGAGAATAAGAATAAAAGTGAAAAAACCATAATATTACTCTATTCTTAAGATCATCATCTCAATGGCTTAATTTAAGGATAATTCATAATCATATATAGCATCATCTACATTTATGTGTTGTTTGTTTATCCACTGATTAGATTCCAGTCCATATTCCTTCCAGCTGACAAGATA